TAAAGTCAACTAGTTGAGATTAAAATGCATTTCGAAGTCAACTAGTTGACTTTAAAATTTTGATCTGAACTAGGAAAAATTAAAATTTTAATCTGTCCTAGTTCGATTTAAAACTGTACTGGATTTTAATCTATCCTACGACATATATATATATATATATAGTAACATGATTAACATGGTGTGCTAGAGAATAACCAGATTTTCCCACATCAAATCTCTTACAATTATAAAAAAATTCAAATGAACCTTTTTACAATCTTCAGTTACTTGTGTTTATTTTCTGAAAAGGGTCTTCCTAAATTTTCTCTTCTCAAATTGAGATTTCTAGGATTTGACTCAACTACAATACGACAGTGTAATAATAACAATCAAGTTCATTTGACGACGATGAATATGAACGTTAAATGATTCCAGAAAATAAAAATTAGTTGATTTGGACCATAGATGCCCATGGCGACGCTGCCGCCACGGCGTTAGCGGTACCTTTTTCAAAGTCTCATCGTGGTAGCGGGGCAGCAGCGGCAGATTTTCAGGCGCGCTGAAAATCTCTAGACTATAAAAAGAATGAATCTACTGTTTTTCGAAAGAATTTTTGCTATTCCTCATCTCTTTTTACCTTAGTATTTCATCAAACAGGAATTGGTAACTCTATATCATATATATTACCTATTTTTGTGAAAAAATAGATTTTGTATAATTTTTAATGCAGCGGCAGCGACTGATTTTCACCCGCGATGAACATCTATTATTTGGATTCCACAGCTCAGAATGTTATGTAAATGATTGTTGAATGCAAATAAGTTTTCTCAGTATACAAAAGAATCAACTGGAATATTTCAATACGCAGAGGATAACTAATCATAAAAAAGACTTATAAATCTTTGATCTGTAATTTCTTTAGACAGGTCTTAATCATGAGATAATAAAGCAGTTTACTCTTGTTCAATGATTATCTATGATTCATTTATTAGAAAGTATATTCATGTAAACAAATTAGAAGGATACTATTCAGAAAAAAGCAGCATGCAAAACTCCTTAAAATTGATACAAGCTCGTAATAGACCTTCACTGTATATGGTACTTATCTGTACTATTAATATAAGAAAACTTTTATCTTTATTTAAAAACCTGAAATCTCATGCATTACCACATTCAAACAATGATCTAGATCAGCATAAGACAATCGTGATGGTGACACAGAAGATATTATTCAAAGTGCAGATAAATAAGAAAAATGTTCAGTCCACTTTTCTTTTCAAGAAATTTGCTTTTTAATCATTCATCTTATATAATTTAGGTTTAAACATTTTTGATCTTCATAATATAATGTTTGAATTAATTGTACAACATTACGAAGTAATAATGATGCATTCAAAATACCGATGGTTAACAGGATACTGTCAAGAAGAACCAGATCAAACATACAAATATACTCGTGAAGAAATGCCCAAAATAGGTAAAAAAGATCATCATGATATTTCAATTGTAACTCGGCCAACGACGTAAAAATAGAAAAAAGGTCTATCGATAATTGAAAGATACGAAGATGGCAGAGAAAATGATTATGAATCATCTGTGTATAGTGATAGCTTCGCAAGTGTTCCGAACAAGATAAACGCAGACAATGCCTAGATATGTATATTGATAAAACAACACTATCCTTAAATTCTTTGACCTATGGAAGATTGAATCTAGATAATGTTGATAATATGTTGTTGATTCGATCGATGGAAAAAATGAAGTGGTAACGTGTTTCATGTATGTTTGCTGAGTTAGTTTCTGTACTATGATATTTTCCACTAGCAACAATTCTGTTGATTACTTTCTTATCAACACATCCACATCCAAGATCTCTCAGTGGGACAGATTTTTGTTTTCCCATAAGTTTCTGATAGAAAATATATCTCTAACAAGAATCTTTCGTAATTAAAATAAGAAACGTGATGGAGATGTTTTAATTGTACATGAAAACCATCTGTATAATCATTATTATCCTTGGCAATAATCAAAATGTCGAGTTTTCGTGGAAGGGAGCAACACATTTTTTTTGATTTTTAGATTTTTATACCCATTCATGAATCAAAAGTCGCTTACATATCTGATGTATAGAGATACAAACATAGAAAAATATCGAAATTAGGTAACATGTCGACATTTCAATCATAGTTTGTTGGACAGGAGTGATTAGAAGGCACGTCTGGTTCCCTTTCGTTACTAAATAGATTAACAATTGATAGCAGATGTATTTCACAAAAATTAATTTGTTCATGATGGATTTATGTCATTGCGATCAAAAAAAGATCTATTGTAGCATGAATCAGACACAGAGACACGAGTGACTTAGTCTTCGTTTACAACCGCTATTATTTCAGTCTAGGGAATAAAATAAGCATCCAAACAACTACGTGAGCTTGTTAAAGATTCACATTCAGCGAAATTACACCGTACTTGAAATGAGTTACGTGTATTGCGTTTTAGTAGGTCTATGAAGAAAAAGCGTTATTATTTTAGTGCTGAGAATGAACCAACGGGGAACAAACTGATTTCCAGGCATAGAAATCATCATACATTAAAGATGTGAATAAAGACTCAGTTGTTAAAAATTACAAGAAACAAATGTAAATAAATGTAACTCACAGAAATTCTCGAACTATACAGTGAAAGAAAATATTGATCTCTATTGATTACTGATGATTTTTACTCGTTTCCTTTTTTTCAGAATGTGCAATGTTTCCAGTGACCACTGTTGATTTCTCATAATGTTTCAACATTTCTGAACGTTTCCAATGATTTCTGCTGGTTTGCAATGATCATATAAAAACCGATTTCCAGTCATAGAAATCAGTGGAAATCACTAGAAATCATGGAAATCAGTTTGTTCCCCCTTGTAAATATCTATTCGCGTTACTCTACTAAAAGATATAATACGGTAATCGATCTATTTTAATAAGAAATAAGTTAGTGCTAGAAAAAAATTGTAAATAATCGTCTCTTTTATTTGTAGGTAGTGGATCTGGATGATCGACTGATAATATTATATATGTATTGTATTATTGGTGGACTTTTTTTTATGATAATTCGTATGTATGACACACATAGCAAAACTAATTAGCTCCTTGTTTGTTTTACAAATCAATTTAATTAAGGTGATCCCTTTAATTTGTTTTTATATGACGATATCTGTAAAGCATTCACATGATTTTCTTTCATCATATATTTATTATGCATGTTCCCAGATTTTCTAGAATTATTACTATTTTTCATTGCGTCATACACATTATCGACGAAGAAACCATTAGGACACAGTCACGACTAAGTATTATATTAATTTTTATTAGAAAGGTATCAGTCAAGGTAATCCAAAAAACCTCATGTGTCTGTCAGAATATTTGGATAAGTTTCATTTATTTTATTGTGATAAACTATAGATGAATAAGAAATTTATTCTATCAATTCATTTGATTCAGTAGTTTAACTACATAAAAGCTATTATTATATTTCACGTTGTTTTTTATACAATGAGTTGTTTTTCATTCGTATTTGTTTCATTTAATGAGAACAGACAGACGTCGGGAAAACGAATCTAATTACTTAGTCAAAAGAAAAAATGTAATAATTATTTAACATGAACTATTAGTTGCACCAGAAAAATTTTTAAATCGAGCAATATAATTTGATGGACGATGTTCTAATAACCACATGCCAGGCGGTGATGTTGGATGACGATAAGCATAAGTATAAGTACTAACAATAACAGTTAGAGAAAGAACCAAAACTGTTATCAAGAGTGTAATAACAACTGTACGCAACGTATATAATGCTGATTGTTGTCTAACTGATACATTTGGTGGAATTTTATTTGGATTAACATTTGATGATGATAATTGAAAGCCATTTGGATTGAATCTACGGTTGAAACTATTAAAACATGTGTCTTCGGAAGCAAAATTATAACATCGAGCTTGTATCCATGTATAATGTGAACGATCATTGCCATCGGAACATTGCTGAGGATTGTCACACCATGAACAATTATACCGTTTACCACGATTTACCAAACATGAACGACAATCAGTAAAAGTATTGCACACTGAAAGATAAAAAAAAAATTTTTACTCTTCAATCGAGTTATTATATTCAAACTAAGCACATTGCAGTAAAACAAACAAAAAAGAGTCAAATATTCAGTTTTACTGAGTGATGGTAATCAGAACGTGAGGATGAAGACGTAACTGACTATAAAAATCGCATCTTTCGACTAGAAACGAATACAAAATGATCCATAGTATGTAGAGGAGCATGTCCACAACTACAGTTAGAATAGAAATGAACGAAAATGTTCTTGTGATTTATCTACATCAGTTTTGAAACACTATCTCATTAGGTGCACATTTCCTATTTATTCAACTGTCATGGCCTGTTAATACAGTTCTCAGAAGAATTTACTATTTTCAATGGTATTTTAAATCGCCACTAAGCTAAAAATAATTTCGATTGTTATTTGCTTTTGTTCTTTTCGTCCTGGCAAGATAAAATCCCTAATATTCTTATTGATATTTTTCGAATAACGCATTGAGATGAGTTTTAGATTCAGATAAAGAAATGATCTAGAGAAAACACTTTGTATATTATGCACTAATGAGAGTACGATAATAAAATATGACTAGAAACAAACAAAACTAACTAATCTAAGGTGCATTGCTTTCTCCTGGAATATTGATTGCAATCCATTGACATCATTCAATAATCCTCGCAAAACAAAGTACAGAAAAAAAAGTTGATCAGTTCATTTTTCCTTTTCATATAGTCGAATAATGATCATCATTCGATAATACGAAATTCTTCTCTTCTACACACAGTTAGCAAGCACGTGAAAAGCTTTCAAAGATGCTCAAGACTATTTACTAGTATTATAGACTAATGGGATTATCTTACCCTCACAAATATAGTATCTTGAGTAATTCATTCTTGTTCAGTACTTAGTTCACTATCTTTTGATCTATATTAAACCAACCGATTCTTTGTTTTATTCAAATATGATCTATTCTTTATAGTTCATCTCAAACGGCTTAAACTTTTGATTTGTTGACGTTTTCAAATGATGATCTTCCGAATGTACACGAAAAAAACTAAATTTGCAAGATTGTTTCGCTTTCTTAGATTCCCTGATTCAGCATAAAATAACAAGTTGAAATAACATCAAACTTACTACTATACATAGTTAAAATAACCGTAACACCACTTTTTATTTTTTCTTTATCTAAATTAAGTTTATCATAAAGTACTACAACAGGAGGGCCATTTTTATGTTGTCTTATTGAATCTTCAGATACATATGCGTCTGAGAGTCCAATATTAGTACTGGAATTTAAATTCCATAATGTCATTGATGGAATGTTTATGTAGTTAATATAAATATTTCCTAATTAGAAATAAAACGCATTTTCCAATATTTCAAATCAAACGTTAAAATCAAACCAGTATTTTGTAAAATTGCTTGAAATGTAAAAGCACCAATATGTTTTTGATTTTTTAAATAAAGATTCTTCCATGTACAAATAAAATGTGTGCTATTACCAAAATACATTACTTCAGATCGATTATCGCCAATGGATAGATCGAACTTTGCCATTAATGGTGCAATACTAAATAGTGACAAGTGATCGAAATAGTTTTCATACGAAAATAATTCATCAAAAAACAAAAACTTACTATTGTGAACTACGAACAATTGTCCCATGTGATAAATCACCCATAAAAATGAAACCTAGAGAAATAATGAAATTTATATATTTTTAATCAAATAAAAATTGTTTCATATGTCTCAAAGCAAAAGAAAATGTCTTTACAATTAAAGCAGATCAAATAGACAAATCGTGCAAATATATCAGCGATACTTACAAATAATTAATGCATCTTTCAAATTCTGGGAAAAGAAATTAAATCGTAGATGCACATCGCTATCAGATGAATATTTTTTTAAATAAAAACATACCGTCAGTTTTCACTAATATTCTATTAATACTGCGGCCATAGAATGAAAAATTAAAACCTAAGTTGATGTCCTAACATGAAAAGAAATTATTAGAAATCTTGAATAATTTTATCGATTTTACTTACAGAACTCGTTCCAACTGGATGATGAAGTGCTTTCATACGAATAAATTGTCTATCCTCTTGAACATAAAACGATGGAATGCTTTCAGATTTTGGAACAATATACGAAACATTATAATACGGATGATCATTCTTTAAAGAAAAATCATTAAAAAAAATATTTAAAAGAATTCAAGAAAATATCCATACGATATAAATAGTTTGTTCTGTAGTATTCGATAGACTTGCAATTGATGTAATAAAACTGAAATCATCCTTTTCTTCTTCATCAGAATAAAGTATTCTTGATGATATTGAAGAAAAATTTCGTAATTTTGTTCGATCAAACGGTTCGTTGAATACATTGTTGGTTGCTGATGTACTTGTTAATGAAACTTGATGATGTGTGTCTATTAAAATAAAATAACTTAGAAGAAAAAAACTATTTTTCATTTTACTTGAACATAAATAATGCTCAAGAAATGCTTCAACTTGTCTAGAATAGATTGGACATTGATGTTTAATTTTTTCTTTCACTTCATCAATAAACTTTGGTATTGTACTAGACAAGAAGAAAACGAAAATGTATTTCTATATTTAAATATTTGTGAAATTTACTGGCAATAACTATCAATTTTCTCACTACTTTCTTCGTAATCATCGAAATCATTAAATTGACTATAACCCCAATGTGTAAATAAATCTTGGAAAATAATACTTCGTCCACCACTCGAACATGAAGATTTAGAATCAACAGCATCATTACAGTTATTCACACCAAGTAAATGAAGTAAATTAATTATTAAACTTCCATAAGATTTATTAGCTACTGGACAATGAATAGGTGCCACACAAGACGCTAATTCTCTATATGAAAAAATTAACGAACAAAAATACATCTTTGGAATTTATCTTACTTGCAATTATTTAGAGTTGCACAATGAGAAAGTTTATCATGAACATCTTGATCACATTCTTCAGAAATGCTAGTTGGATAAGTTATTGATGAAAGCAATCTAGATTTCTCACGTTTGAGTCGATTATTTGATGTTAAAATAGTGTGAGGTGCATTGTCAATATTTGTCAGATCATTTGTTAACAAAATATTTTCATCATTTTGTTGAGATTTATTAAATAACAAAATGATATAGAGAAATATTTCAATGAAATACTTCATTCTATCTAAATGTAATATGAAGACGGGATAAAGAAAAAGAAGAAGACTAATTCCAGATGTCTCTATAGTCACTGGATGTTTGTCTAATCTTTTGTGCAAACGAACACGAAAGTGAATGATATAGACAAACGTATGTGTTTTTTTATTGTAGGACATCATTTGCTAGAGACAGAGAGAGAGAGGAAAGAGAACGACGACGAAGCAGAAAGAAACGAAATCACTATGCGAGGTCACCTGTATACTTGCTTAACTGACGAAGAGACGGTAAGCCGAATGTTTCATTGATCATGCACGTTCGTTGTTCGTTTTCTTCTATGCTTCTTTTTTTCTCAACGACAAACGATTATTTGATCATTATCATAAGAGAGAAAACTAATCCTTCTGAGTATATGCTGCTTCATTGATTTCTTTTCGTTTATCGTCGCTTGATATAGTACACACGTACGATGAGCTCCCACGGCAATGGTACAGCAATGACAGCTGATGATCGTTTAAAACAAGTCTATGAAGTTCTTACAAAACGAAATCATAATCGTGCATTAACTTTGAAAGATGCTGGAACAGTAATTCGTGCAGCTGGTTACAGTCCAACAAGTGGTGAATTAAAAAAAATAATTGATATAAAATTTGGCACAATGTATGCTCATCAATTATTTGATTTAGCAACAATTCAAGATATATGTACAGGCTTAAAGAAACGTTCGGAAAAAGAAGTTCACGATAGTTTACGCTGTTTCGATTATGAACGTAATGGTTTTATATCAGCGCAAGAATTAAAATATTTTTTTAGTACACGCGGTGAAAAATTAAGTGAAGAAGAAATCGATGAAATGCTGCGAGATATGGATATTGATGAACAAGGGATGCTGTCCATTGAACAAGCACTTTCCGTACTCTTTGCTGGTGACTATACAGAATAAAAATAAGTATATTATTTTTTCCTCTTTTATTTCCTCTTATATTTCAAATAAAAATGAAAACAATCAGTTTATTTCTTATTTGACGACAACAATAACACATAAATTATTTCTCTTTGCTATTTTGTATTAAAAAGCTGCTAGCTCCTGGCGTTCTTTTGTTCGTACACCATCGTCAATTGTTAGTATGGATAGAAATGAAAGGAATAGACCGAATGAAGATAGTAAATGCCATATATCATGTGCATCATATGTGTTCAGTACAATACATCGTTGATTATAAGTTCTTGATATAGCCGGTTGAACTTCGTAACTTTTAACTTCATGAGAGAAGAAGTATAGAGATGCTGCCCAAAAACATAAAGATGACACCAGATATGCTACAGCCAAAGGTGTAAACGCTTCTTGATGAATTACTTTCATTATAATATAATAGACTAAACAAATCGCTAAGTTGCCAAGAAAAACGAATAGGAGATGGTTTGGAAACGACTCAGGTTGCGTAATAGCTCCAAATAAGGCAAATCCAATATTAATAAGATTAGCTATAAGTAGTATTACCATTCGACTTAAATATCGTGGCCGAGAGAAAATACCATGTTGTCGGACGAGTTTACATAAATTAACCTAAAACGATCGGTATAAAAAAAAGTTACATAGCAAAAATGTAATGAAACTAATCAATCTGTTATAATATTAGTCTAAACTCACAGGGAAATCGAGGGAAATTTTCAATCGTCCCATATAATAAATTTTAGCTGTAAATATTAAACAAGTAATGATATGTACAATAGCATAACTTATCCAGAACCATTGTTTATCATAGTACTATAAAGGAGAACAGACAAAAATCTTAAATGCAAAGAAATAAACTAATTAAGTATAATCTTGACATACGACGCCGACAACTGTAACAAGAATAATACCAGCTAGAAATGAAAATACACCAGCGGAATGTGGATTAATATCTGGATGTCTTAGTTGGTAAATTTTAATTATATTTAAAACAGCCATTATAAACATAAAGCTTGTATCGAACTGAAAATTTTGTCTCGATGGGCATACATGATAACTAATAGAAGATAGCTCATGATTAGAACATCAATTGAATACTTATTTACCATGCACTCATAACACCTTCCATAAATAAGCCAATGGCCATAGCATAGAAAAGACCGAAATATTGTGGAATGCCCAACTCCTAGTCATGTAAAAATGAATTCAAAAATGATTTATTATCGAAATTCTTAATTTTACTTTGCTTATGTCTGGGTTTTTCGTAATAAATCGAGTATACGCATTATCTCTATTAGATAAAAGTAATTAATTAAACTATAAATATCCTTTTACCTTCGATAAACAATAATAAAGAAGAGTGCACCAAGTGCACAATAGCCAATATTAGAGAAAACATTATTAAATGCTGTTAACATAGCAAATTGACGTGTACATAAAAAATTGAAGTAGCAAATATCTTCATTTCCAATCGAATCGATATTCACTTGATATTGTAGAACCAATTGAATTACAGGTAAAGAATAAAATATCGCGATTGTTCCCATTGTTTTAGGATACACACGAAATTTTTGTTTTAAATATTCATAATCTTTTTCAGCTAACTGATTCACAGGTACAAAACCTCTCTATAACGAAAGAAGATAATCTCTTATTTCGTATTTCTATAGTGTAAAATATTTCAATAGGAATAGAATAAATCCTAGTTAAAGAAATAGATATTAATAGACTGTAGATAGATTTGTTTTTGTTCACTCAGAATTTTTCTTCATATCAAATGTCGGCGATTATTCTTAAATGTATTTTGTCATGACTTCATTCTGACACAAAATAGTCTTCTTATTTTTAATGTAACATATCTATGAATATAATTTTGTACTAGATTTTTTTAGAATTGTTTTACTCATGATAATCGTGACTTACAGAAGATACTGATAATACTCTACTAGACGGTGGTCGGCCTTGGCTATCATTTCCTCGTGTTGATATTACATTTTCTTCACCTTCAGATGTTTGATTACGTTGTTCACTGATTTGATAATCTATTTGAAATTAAGTAGAAAATTTATGATATCTCATCGCTTGATGATACATACTAGTGAGTTCTCTGTCTCTTGGTACACCGATCAATGCTAGATGTTTAAAAGAAAATTTTATATAGAAAAACAAAATCTGAACTATTTTGTACATACGACAGTCCTCTGAATCCAAAGAATCACTAAAAAATATCAATGTTAAATAATCTTTCAAGGAACTAAAAATACTTACTAAATATCTGGATATTTACACAAAATAAAAAACGAGAAAATATAAATACAAAATAATACGCCTAATGTTATAAATATTGTTATATAAAGAAGAGTAGCTATATGTGGAAAAAAATGCAGTTTAAGAAAATCTATAGAATCTATATTCATACAATAATTTGGCGAACTTAATATAACTGTTGCATTTTTCATTCGTTCAATATCAACAATACCGGCTAGAGAAATAAATAAATCTAAATGTAATAGATCTTAAAAAAGAAAACATGCTCACCTGGTTGAATCATTGCCGACTCTTTAGAATTCAAACAATCGACATCCGTCGGTTTAACAAGAAAAACAATAAGAAATTCGCTTCGTTTTGTAAATTCATTCGACTAATAATAAAAACATTCGAAAAAATGAATAATCTTCGATCAAATTACTATCATAACTATATTACATAAATATTAAACGAAGCACTTTTTGACATTGTTTGATAATGTCCTTGTCTAAAACCAATCTCACCAACATCATAAACTGGACAATCAAATGATTGAACAGACACAGCAGCACACAGTTCATCTTTGGAACTAACTTCAATAAAAATATTATTAATTTGAGGTGGAAATATAAATTTGTAATAAATCGGCATCGATGGAGAAACAGTAACTGTTCGTGGAACACCTGTTCTGTATGTTCGAAAGAAAACTTTATAAGCGAAAAATCAATAACTTTTATTTTCAGTTACTCAAGTGAGTATTCAGTTGAATTATCTAGTTGAATAGAATAATCAATGAGATCTGGATTGGATGTTGAAATTTCGATGTAAATAGTACTCGTATGTGATCGATTACGATTTAATTCATTATAGGCACATAATATCCGTGCAACACTTGTATAAAGCATTCTATGAACAACTAAAAATTGAAAAATTTTCCTATTCAATCGATTCATTCATACCCGTTCGGAAATGCATATGGAAGTGTCCATGAAACTACTCCAAGAGTTTGCCGAACAACAACTAAAATCGGAGCATTCTGGTGAATATTATAGTTCATAGTTGTTGTTAAACGAATGGCCTTGAAACAAATGAAATAATTTATCATCAATTCAATTTTATATTACGATCAAGATTCTTGTCTATTTACCGTTTTTGTATTAAAATTATATTGAACAGAATAATAATGTACAGTAGTTGAATTGATCGTACTTGCACATAATTCTCCGATTGTACAATTTTTAATAATAACATCAGGATTTGTAGTTGAGTCAAACGAATTAGATATTACTTGATCACATTTTACAAAACACTATGACAGAAATAATCATTTTTTTATTGAAATAATAATTGAGTTTGCTTACAACTAGATTAAAAGTAATAAGAAAGTACAAGCGAAATGAAAGAAGGACCATTATTCACTAGCAAAAAACGACGACGATATGATAAGAGTTTCTGTTGTTTTTATAGTTATATCTAGTAAAAAATAGATTACACGTAATATCGTCACTCATTTGGTTAATGTCTCAAAGATAATACTTACCTTCTCTCATGTCTTCTTCGATGTCAAGAAGAGTTTGTTACTCACTAGTCAACGTGCGACATCTAGTCTATTTTACAATTATTCAAACTAATGATGAATATATACATTTGCATCTATTGAATAGATTTAAAAATTTATTTTTCTTGTTAGCTATAGATTTTTCATCGAAAAATTAATTTTGACATCATCACACTTGTTTCGATGGAAATGATGTGCACAATGGCAGAAGAATGTGGCGCTAAGGTTGTCTTCTTTTAAGATTAGTTATTAGCAATGCACAATAATTATTATACAACACCTGTAACTCCTCAAAGAGCACCAGCAGGCTTCGATATGAATCACCTTTATTTAAGTCCATCTCAGCAGCAAGTCAATCGGCAAGGCATGCTTCTTAAACGAAACGAAAGAATTGATTGGCGTCGCATCGGTACTATAATTAAATAAAAAGAATCGTGAAAATTAATTTTTTTTTCATATAGCTGCCGTTGATGTTGATCGTATTGCACGTGATATGGATTTTCAAACCTTACAAGAAAACCTTGAAAACATAACCTTGTGTAATATTGATGCTGAAGTTGTGAGTTTTTGTTTTTATGAAAAACCAAATTAAAAAAATACTTTTAATTTCTCAAAATAATAGGATACAAGAGTTATGGATCCAAATTTTGTTAAACTTTATAAAATGGCTCAATTAACAATTGAATATCTTTTAGTTCGTATTTTAACTTTGTAAATTCTGTGCATAGGATCTTATTTTTTGTTGCCTCTTTGAATAGATTTGTCAAGATCAAATAACATCTCAACTAGCCGATTATGATCAATTGAAGAACCGAGATTTTCATGTATGTATTCGTTTTCTAGTACGAAATTCTATAATGAAAAAATAAAATAGGATCACGAAGATGCTCGGCAACAAATTGAAAAATTAAAATATGAATTAGCAGAAACAAAAAAAGAATTGAAAAAAAGACGAAAAATGCTTGAAACACAACAACGAATGTTAATGGCACAAAATTCAAATTATCATACGGTAGCAATAAATCATGAAATTCTTGTTTGAATAATATATGAATTTTTTCTCCTACAGTGTCCTGTTTGTACACATGCCTTTTTAAGTATTGCTTATCTACAAGCACATATAAATCGTCGTCATCCAGATTATGACCCCAATCGACGACGTGAACATGATGTTGACGTTGAAAAAGAGATTCAACGTTTTAAAGATGAACTACATAAAAAAGACGTCGAATTACAATCTATTAGAATTCAAAAAGTATGTTCAAAATTAAATTGAAGGCTACAACTGAAAAATAATATTTTCATTTCTCGTATAAATAATCTTCGAACAAGAAACTGTTCTTATGGGGACTAGAAAAGATCACACTTCAAATCTCTTATATATCACGATTATGTGAATAATAGAGATAAAAAAAAACTTAGAGAAAAACTCGAAACTCAATTTTCCTCGGTGTTTCTGAGAGATACCTGTTGTATGTCGTTCTAGTTGACTGGCAAGCGATTGAAGTTGTTTATTTTAAGTAGAGTTTTTATAGAATTTAAATGATCATCAGCAAATATATACAGAGAAATTTTCTTATGAATACATTACTTCAGGATGATTGGCGGTAGTAAAAAATAACTATTCACGGTCTTACTCTATTGTTTTGACTTTGATTCAATTTTTAAAAATTTTTAAGGCTGTTGATGAAGAAAAAATTCGTGATCGTGATGCAGAACTTCGTCAACGTAAAGTAAGTTCTTCTTCTATTGTCTAATCGAATAGCTACGTAAAATTATACTTACATAGGAAGATATTCAAACATTAACGACAAAAATAACAATATTAGATGATAGACTCTTACAAATGAGATCAGTAATAAAATAAAAACAATAAAAATTTCTCATTAAAGAGTTTATTTTTGTGTTGATCAAATTTTAGAATCCTCATACACGATCACCTTCACCTCATCGACAAGATACTGGTCTATCAGAGCTCTTAAAAGAGAATAAACATTTACGTGCTGACATTGAACAACTTGTAAGTCACCTTTTATTTGTTTTATATTAATTTATTTTATAATTTCAATAGAAACAACTACTTCAACAAACAGAAAATAATTTAAAAAAAGAAGAAAAACTTAAACGACGTTATGAACAAGAAAATGAAACTGTAATTATGCTTATGTAAGCGCCGTTACTTTCAATTTTCTCCTCTTGTTTTAGCTTGTACAAGATATAAAGAAGCTAAAAGAAAATCTTCAAGTACTTCAAAAGGCATCAGGAGATAAAACTCAGCTAACAGAGCAATTAATTAAATATCAAAATGTAAGTTTAACATTGAAGAAAAAAAGAATTTTACTACCTTTTTTTGTACAAATATATATCTAGCAATATAATGATGAAAAATCAAAACGTAAAGTATTAGAGAAACAACTTCAAGCACCTCATAATGATTCAACTCAATTACCAAATCAAATAACGCCCATAGTCGATGAAAATCATAAAACAGTTCCATCACGCCCAACTGATTCACGAGTTGACCCAACCGTTCAAGTTCGACCCGCTGCACCACTTCAATCAACAGATCTCATTTTAGCCGATTTTTGTCCAGCTCTTGTTGAACGATTAAAAGAGAATCCAAAATTTTTAACAAAATATCGAGATGACGCTAAACAACAACTCAATACCGAGCTTGACGAATATGAAAATTTAGGAATATCTGAAGTAAGAAAATGATTTTTCAAAAACAAACTGAAGAATAAATTTCTATTCAATTTTAAGACTGATACACGTCTTACTGATCTTGATTTTCGAACGAAAATGGAAAGTGTTTTACAAACAAGACACAATATTCAATCTGTAAGTGATTCTATCATCTATAGATATATTTTACTATTAACTGTCATACTGCTTTACGAAGTGTTCTGTTAAAATTAGTAATAATAAAAATAAAATAATTTTTCTTTAGGATTTACCTGATTTCGAACGTATTCGTGCTAATCTTGTACGATTATTAGATAGACGTGTTAATGAACGGCTTGATGTTCGACGTAGTATTACATCCATACGTTCAACTGGTAGTAAATTGGTTACATTTGAAGATGAACAGCGTCAATCGAAAAATCCCTCTCAAAAACATGATAATACCAAAAAACAAAACACTGATCACCGTATCATTATATCAACAGATCCACCAAAAACAAAACATGATCATAGTCGACCAGCAATAAAACATGTATCGGATGATGATGTTACAATATCTAATGCAAGTGACAGCGATGAAGATACACAACCGACACGACCAGGTGTTGCATCGGATATTAGACCTCCGCCAAGAAAAACTGTTCCACCACCTAAGACAACACATGGTATTGGTTCATTAGTTGACGCAAGTATGAGACCATCGACAACAAATGAAGCCTCGACTATTTCTGCTCTTCCACGTCAACACCTACCTAAACCAATAACAATAAAGAGCAAATCAAATTCAGATAGGTAAGATTTAAAACAAGAGATACATTATAAATTATTATTATATTCTTTTATTTAAGTGAAAATGAAAGTCCAGTACCACCAGTTCCTTCAAAAGCTGGACCTCACCCATCGAGTATCGACGATAAAAAACGTATTATTGATCAAAAACTACAAGAAGCCAGTGTGAAAGGAGTAAAACCAACGCCAAATGCTGTTGCACAAGGATTTCAACATTCGCAACGACCAATTGTTAACCAAGTCAGACAACATCTATCTTAAGGTTTTTTTCTTCTAATAAGATTTTTATTTCAGCATGATGATGATGATGATGATGATGATAGTCAATCACTTACAACATTACACACAAATCCCCCACAAAAACTAGCCAATGACCAGTTACCTCAAGTTCCGTATGTATTGTTCTGTTAGCCAGTAGATAGTTTCGTTCTTTGATCTGCTTATTGGAGTGTACACATAGTAGAATTTTTGGTTTTTGAAAAATCAAATTATTTCTTTTCTAGCTCATCTTCTGTAAGAACGCAAGCACGTATGCAGTGAAAAAAAAAACAGATGCTACATCTCCTTTTCTTTCGCACTATCTTTATTGAATGTGTCACACTTATTAAACTTATTGCACAATCTTATTCGAAAGACAGAAAGAGAAGAATCTGTATCGAAAATGAGTTCAAATAGATTAGTGAAATTTTTTATTGAACATCATTTTTCACTGTTCTCTTCTCTTTTCGGTCTTGAGCAAGTCAATACTTGCAAAAGAGTCAATTTAAGAATATTTCGTTCAATGAAATAAAACGATTTTATTTTTGTTTACAGAAGGCGCGAATCAGTGAATAATAATCTTCTATCATCAGGTGATGCTTCGCAATATACGTATGACTCGTAAGTCGACATCGTCTACCGATTTATATTTTGTTATTATGTTCTTTATTTATTAGTCTATGGAAATCACAAACTGGAAAAGGTAAGTTTTATATTATATATGTAAATGATATACTTCTAAAAACTTATATAGTTCCTGAATTGCGACGACCACTAACAGCTGATTCGGCAAAAACTTCTAATTTGGATTCAGATGACAATGAAGATGAAGAAGATTCGAATTAATTCTTTTTTTTAAATAGCGAATGATTGAAAAGTATTTTCACAATGTTGATTCATTTTTTTAGCGTCTTCAAGAAAGCTGAAAAAAGTTTAGAGAACATTGGATTAGATTCAAAATTTTGCTCAATTTTATGAAATGATGTTTTAGAGACTCGTAATTGAAGTTAGTACAAAGCTTAACATCGATACAGAATGTTCTCGACACAAAGCCATACTTCTCGTGCCACTAAAACTTCAATTTATATCGTCTAAACTAGATATCATATAGTCATTTTCAACACAGATACGCAAATACTTGATTATAATCGAGTGTTTTCGACTTACTATCAATTTTCTTAATACACTAGCAACTGAATGAACATTTAGTCAAATTACTTTTCGATCAATCACTAGAGCGCTCTTTGATTTCTTTTTTTCATGTATTTCTCTACGCCTTTTTTTTTAAAGATTATGCACACATCTGTGCTTGTGCTTTTGTCTAGGTGTGTTTCTTTTCTTTTTAATACGGAGTTAAATATGTATGTGTAGGTTCGGTAGGCTTTCATAGAAGATTGTTTCTGTTTCCTAATAATAAGAATATGTATTTGCTTGCGTGAGATAATTTTATTGTTTCTTTTTTCTTTGTTTGGATTTATAATATGACAAGAAAAATTTTTGAAGATTTTTTATTGAAACTATTTCTTTAATTGCATAGATCAATGGCATTAGAATCATATTTGGACATTAAAAATCTGAATTCGAAAGTAACTGTGATTGGAAGTAATCCAGTAAGACGTGAATTAGTGTTTGGTTTTGAAGATGGATCTGTCCAAACATATGATCCTGATACAGGTGATTTTTTTGTTTTTTCAAAAATAGTTTCAAGTATGTAAGCTAGAACTTTGCTCACCGTTCTCCTCCGGATAGATGACCTTCAGCAGTCGGATTTGTTTTTATTAATGATATTTATTTTTAGGTAACATGATTACAAATTGCTATAAGCACAGAGGATGGGTTACTGCTTTGTGTGCGTTTCCTGAGGCTCGAGCTTTTTTCTCAAGTGGCAATGACTCAACAGTTGTAACATATAATGGTTAGTATCATAATGACAATTTGATTTAAAGATTTGTGATTATTGTTTTGTTTTGTGTAGCCATTGGTACTCCTATTGATAAATTGAACATCGGTTCTGTAGCTTATTCTATTTGTTTTCATTCTCGTTTAAAACAAGTCATTTTCGGTATACCAGAAGGTAAATTAATTATAGAATTATTGAATAAATATTTTTCAAAAACCAAAAACAACTAACACAGGTATTCAATTTCATTCCTACGAACTGAATAATGTAACTGGTCAAATTATTAATTCTATACCATTGTATATAATATGTGAACATGAAGATATAACTACAGGTGTATTAATGCTCGATAAATTATATTCTGTTGGTTTTGATGGAAAATTAATTATCTATGATTGTCCATTTGGTAGTTCACCATCGGTGTCAAAAAAATTAGACCAGGCACATGATGCTGGAATAACCTGTTTAATAGCACAAAAAAATTCTCTAGATAATAATGAATGGTTAATGACAGGTTCATTTGATAAGTCAGCAAAAGTATGGAGTCTTGATGGAAAACTAATTTTTAAATTTGTTGATTTTACACAACCCGTAACAGGATTAACGTATGTTCATGCAACAAAAACTGTTTGGATAGGTAAGAAATAACCTATTTTGTTGATTGTTTCTATATATACTGATTTCCATGTGTTAGCTGCTGGTAACAGTTTTGCTCATGTATATGATCCAAAAAACGGTGAAAATGTATCAAGCTTTATCGGTAAAGTATTTAATTACCTTTGGTTTTTCAAGCATAAAGTCTAATTTATTTATCTTGTTTTTTTATATTGAAAAGATACATTTCTCAGCGTTGAAGATAGTGAACTTCGCTATAGCTATTTTCTTATTCTTCTTCGATATGTACCCGAATTAAATGTTCTTATTGCTTCAACGAATCTTAAACAATGTCTTGGATGGCGTTATAAAAATACGTAATTATCGCCGTATTTTATTTTCTCAATCGTTTGATTAGATAGACTTTTTATCTTAGTGGTTGTATATCATGTTTGAAAGTAAAATCACCATTAGAAAGTGTTTGTTACACCAAAAAGACACCAATATTGGTAAGAAATCCTATATTCAATCTGCATGTTAACTATAATATTTTTATACTTATTATAATTATCTAATTAGATGTTTGCAGGAGATTCAGAAGGTGAGCTTAGATATCTAAAAAAAACAATATGTACATTGTGTGCTTGTTTTTGATATATAACTAAATAAATATAATATATGTAGTTAACATAGATTATCGAAATTGATTTGTTTTATTTGTATAGGTGATGTATACAAATGGGAACAAATGCAATCGAATCAAATAATGTATTCAAGTGAACGTTTACTTAAATTTGAAGGTAAAAAGAATCTAAGTGATGTTATGGTACACGCTATATCATTGGGAGATACAAAAACTAATGCTGATAATAATAATAACAAAGAATCGACCACGAATACAAAACGACTTGCATCAGCTAATCGTATTAAAACAGTTGAAGAACGTTTACCAGCCTATTATATACGTTCACGTTCGGCAGCTAAAATACGTGAACGAGAACGTGGTATTGGCGGCTATGTATCACAATATGCTCATTTGCAAAAGAAAGGCGATACGAATACATTAAGTAATATAAAAAAGACAGCAACAGGAAAATCAATTCTACGAATATTACTTGTGGAAAAATTTGATTTAATTATCGCAGCTAGTGAAGATAAAAATATTTATATTTGGGGCTTTGATTTAGAAGCATTAAAAGCATTAACAACATTACGCGATCAAGCGAACGATCTTAATCATCTTCCCGAAGGTATATTTAAGTATTTCAGATTTTCTTCACCAAAAAACGAATCTTGACTTTGATCTGTAGAAGGTGCGGATGTTGCCAATCGTGTTGTTGGTTTTACGTTACGTAAAATATTTAGTGAACACGAAAGTCTTGTTACATCATTGGCACTTGTTGATGATGTTGATTCGTTTGGTGGTGTTTTTCTACTTAGTTCTGGATGGGATCGACGTATATTTATTTGGGATCTGACTCATTTCATTCTTTTTTCTCAATATACAAATCCTAAAGCAGACCATGTTGACGAAGCTCAAACAGCATCACAAGGAAATATTCATGATATGGATTATAGTCCACATTTAAAATATTTTGCTTATGCTTCAAGTGATATGTGTGTTTATGTTCGAAAATTTTCACCGAAAGGTTCTGAAATGGATCTTATGTATATACTTCAAGCTAAAATTGACTCCGAAGTAACTTGTGTCAAATGGAATTTCATAATGAATCAATGGGTTACTGGAATGGAAAATGGAGAAATTCGAATATGGGTTATTATAAAAATTTTTTGGTTTCATCCTTTTCAATAATAATTTGTAATGACTTTTTTGTTTAGGAACCTGATGGTGAATTTAAACAGGCGATTAATGTTCGAGGAAGTGTACATAAAATTGCTATTGATGATGTTCAAAAAGCACTTTTAATTGGTACTCAGGATACGCTGAAAGTATTTGATATGGAAGAATATACATGTGTACAAACTAATGAAGGACATACAGATGTTATTCGGTATAGTAATATCAATGTAGAAATTTAATTCTATCTAATGAGTTTTTTGTTTTTTACAGTGATGTTTTATTCATTCCGGAACGAAGTCAATATATTACTGTATCATTGGATCATACGATGCGTATATGGAATGCTTGGTCACCTGAACCATTTCGAAAAAAAGTTGCTGATATTGATCCGAAAATAAAGTTTTCCGAAGATCTTTGGGAACAAATTCGTAATTGTGTAAAAAATTCAATTGAAGTTGAAGATGCAAATAGTATTGTCGATAAATATTTTCAAAAACAATATGAACAAAAACATTTATCGATTCATGATGATCATCCTCGAGCTCAACAAGTGTCCTTTTCTAATCCATGAACAGTTCTTTTTTTAATTTTTTTTCCTATCGTTTGATTTCTATAGATCTCAGGAGAACGTTCGTTTTTCTTTTCACTAGTATTTCTATTGTGCATTGCACTTTAAAAAGAATAATATTATTTTTTTTTGTAGATAAACTATGTCGCAAGCACATCATGAAGCTATGCGTTTATCATCCGAACGTCCTTATACAATGGGTAGTTCAAGAAAAAGTCTATTACCATTTCGAATGCGACGACCACAAACATCACCGGATGTAAAAATTTCACATAGATTTTCTCATCCAGACGAAGGACTTGTTCGACAACTTACTCATGAACATATTCTTAGTAAGTTAGAAGCAGAAATAACTTTACTTCTATACAAACTAATTTGATTGAATAATATTAATATAAATACTAAACATTGAATAATTTTTAGTAAAAAGAAAGAAACTAATTTAAGGTAAGATTGTTGTCTAGAAATAAATATTCTCATTTCAATTGAATGACACTTTTTTGCTCGCTGAATAAATATGATGATTCTGCACTTTATAGTCACATTATGCTATCACATACATCTGTAGATGTGCTATTTGTTTTTGTTTTTCTACTATTGAATAGCAATTGGTGATCGTTTATTAACACAACTAGAATACGAAAACCAGCATCGCACTCAACAAACCTATCAGCAATTACTTCAAGCTGAACAAATACGCATGGAAAATGAATATCAAAAGAAATCGGTTGAAATGACAAGAAAATGGTTAGCACAGTTAGACGAAGAAAAAGCTCGATTACAAAAGGAACTTGATCAAAATTTAGCCGATATGGAACGGTTACGTCGAAAAAAGAGTTACGACGATGAACAAGTTATAATACGACGAATGAAGGATGAATGTGATCAAGCATTAGCGAGACAATGGAAACTTGCCAATGAACAAATTAGTCTAGTAATACAAATCCGTAGATTAATTCATCATACATTTTCAAGCATTCATTTAGGCAGTAAAACAAGCAGAAGATCGATTGCGTGCGTTGCTTGAATTGAAATATTTAGAAGATAAAGAAAATTTTGCACAAGAATTTAGTGCAAAAAAAGATGTAAGAAAATCGTACGTTTTTCATCGAGAACTAGGATGATAATTGTTTTACGATAGGCCGAATATGCTGAACAAGAAGTGAAAACTATAGAAAAAGTAACAGCTGAATTAAGAAAAGAACATGATCGTGATATAAAAATAATCAACAAAAGTCATTCACAAGAAATAGATGAACTGAAAAAGAAGTATGACTACTGATTTGACGATTGAATAGAATTTAATATGATATTTTCAGGTTAAAGTTAACGGAAGAACGTTTTCGTCGAGAATTTTCATTACGTGCTCGACTTGAAAGTGATTTTCGAGTTAGTCTTGATTTAATATAATATCTCGATCAGATATTTGAATTCTTTTTATTTTCATAGTTACTTCAAACTGATTATAAACGTTTTATGGATAATACCAATGTTTTTCATTCTGACTATATGCTTAAATTGTGTCACATTGGAGAGCAAATTGGCGATGCTAAATTTGAAGAAGTTCTTGATAGAATATTAGCCGAATCGTATATTGAACCTATTCGATCGCAATCAGGCAAAAGTCAAACTCATAAATATCAACATTCATTAAAACTAAATGATACATAAAACTACTGTCATTAAACAGTATTTTTTTCAATACACTTTTTTTACCATTATGTGTGCTATTCTGATTATTTTCATAATACCTTACTATGCATGATGCCTGTACATAATTCTTCCGTACTTTCTTAGATATTGAGTGAAAAAGAAAAGGTTTATTATTCTCGCTTCTTTTATTGGTGCATCCGTATTTGGAACCTGGAACTCTGTTTTTCTGTATGTTTACTTGAAAAGAAAATAAATGAATGTAATTATTCAGTACACACACACACCCTACTTAATAGGGTCACTTGCTAAATGCGGAATCATACAAGATGATTTATTTTGGAAACTCAGTGGATTTCTAGGTGTTTTATCACATGAAGACGTGACTTCTGAATACAATGTCTTTTTCCTGGTATAATCACTTATTTTTAGGCTCCTAGTTGCTAATAAAATCTCTTTCAATATCATAAAAGTTGTTGTTCAAAAATGTAAATTGCACGGCTACAATATAGAAAGAGTGATGCCAATCCATAACCCGTGAATGACCTCATATACTCACCGGTAATGATTCGGATAATTTGCATTAAAATAATTATATGGTATCCATAGCTATTCATGTCTGAAAAGTCATGTATTATCATGACTAGAGGGCTGCAGGGTGCAGGATTTTTATAACCTGTAACCTGCCCTGTAAATTCTTTTGTAACCTGATCCTGCCCTGCTCTGTGAACATTTTTGCGTACCCTGCCCTAACACTTTCTATTGTAACGTGTAACCTGCCTGCCTGCCCTGCCCTGCTATTTTTAAAATAGAGGTATATCCAAAATTTCCTCTCAGTATTTATAATACATTTAATTATATGCACTTCAAATTTGAATCGGATAAAAATAACGCTTAATTTCTTCAAGATTTCTAATAGAAAAATATTGAATAAACAAAACTAGCTGCAATCTATCATAGCCGATCATTTTTTATATTATGAGTGCTTTCGTCTCGGTAAATTCATCTTTCTTCATGCATAATGTTTTTAAAAGATACCGGAAATGTCGGTCGTTCAAAATTAATCTCAGGTTAACAGGTTACGATATAGACAACCTGGCCTGTAAAAATTTCATAATCTGCCCTGCCCTGTCAGGGACAGGACAGGCCAGCCCAGCCCAGGTTACGTACACCCTGAAGGGCTCTAATCATAACCTTTGACACTCCATTCGTTCGTGAAAGCACTTATACCTTATCTTGAACCGAATAAAAATTCGGAAGCTACTGAATTTTACCATTTTCTTCGTACCTATCTTCTGTTGAGCAGAGCTGCCGCATATGCGTAAAGGAATGAAAGCCTACAGCACACCTTCAGACACTCTTATAGTGATGTCGTCTTGATTGTGAACTTAATAGATTACACGTTGTGAATCTACACACAGATCGTGCAATACACGTTATTTTTATTAAAACATTTTACTCGCCAAAATTATCCTCACACAAACAACTCACTCTTTCGGTGACTTGGCTCACTTCGAAGGAAAGGCTTCAATGTGGCCCATTGATCGAAAATGACATAAAAAAGGAGTTTGATTCATCAGATTTCTGTTCACCTCTTTTTCTGAATGTGAAGTACAGCTTTCGACTTGGCCAGCTAATCAAATGTTTGCGCAATAACGGAAAATTACTCATAAAAATTCTATTCACTTTGTTGACTCACCTAGAAGCATGATGGTTTCCATTCGAACAGGTACCAGTGGATTGTAAGGCACAAGAAAAATACCTATCAGATTTTGTTCACCCATGTGGTTTATTTCAAAGCAAAGCTTCCCATTTAGTCACCTAATAAAAGATTACGTCAGAAAGAAACCTTGCTTATAAGATTTTTGTTTACCTGTTTTACTCATTTCGCGGCTAGAGTTATGAATCTATTAGATGGCCAAGGATCACGTGGTAAAGAAATGCGGATCAACATGATTGTGTTCAGTTGATTTGCCTACTTTGCAGCACAAGCTGTGACTCATCTAGCTGATCGAAAGTCACAAGGTAAACGAACATTATTCATAAAATTTTTGTTCATCTACTTTGTATACTTGCACGCAAACACTACTGCTCAGACAGATGAAAAATATTGCATAGCAAATGACATGTAACAACGGCATGTTGCACCAATCATGCATTCATAAACGTCAGTTATTTGAAAATCGAGCCTTCAATGAAAATCTCTGTGCATGATTTTAGAGATAAACGGATGATTATGATTAGAATCACGTGCTTTTAGTTTGATCACATTGAAATTAATTTAGGAACTTCTCTAATTAGATCATTGTCGTATGTTAAATGAATAATTGCGACGAAATTTTTGTTCAGGAATATCATTGATTTTGAGCTAGAATATACGTATAAATCATTGTTTTTCCACGATGACAGGATTAATGAATGATAATAACGCTTAAAATATTCCCAAGAGATGTGTTCATGTGACTTCAAAGTTTCTATCAAAGCCAACGCATTCATTGATGGATTGGAGAGTACGTCATACATGGAACGTTCATATATTTATAGTTTATTTCATATATTTTGCGTCATTCATATGAACAATAATGATGTTGATCTGAGTAGACAATAGATTGCAAGCAAACTGAATCGATCTTACCAGTGTTTTGTTCATATATCTTTCTCATTGCGGAATTAGAACCACATCTTGTCGATACAAATTAACGATGATATCAGTAACGAATATCTACCATCGGAGTCTTATTTCATTACCCTGACTACTTTCAATGAAATAATCCAATTTATATTGGATGGAAATCTATCATCATAAACCAATATTTATTTTCCAACCGCTTTATTCACTTATGTTCATGCACGTTCGAAGACGCACTTCAAATTAGTATATTGATGGAAGAGTGTAAAGTTGAAGAATCAACACAAAGCTTCCTATCATGATCTCCCCAATTCTCCTGTTCCATCATGTTGCATACATCGAAATCGCCGATTGTAGATTATTCTCTTTTGAAAGATGACATATTGAATGACTGATCATAATTCTTGACACGATCTCATTCATTTATATCACTTTCTGCACAAACAGAACTATTAGCCAGTAAATAGATAAGAAATGAGATCAAAAGCGAAAGATTTCTATTTCTGAGATTCTATTCGTCTATTCTATTTATTTGAATATAAAGTTTTCGACTGATGAACACTTTCGACAATCGTACAATATCAGTTTTGCAATTATCCATTCCCAACTCGACACATACCATTGTTCCCATACGTTATGTACACAAGCGTCAAGTTTCAGAGAAGTAAAACTTATAGACGGCTATCAGTCGTATGCATAATCATCATCACCGGTAGGCTCTGTAGACCGACGGTGTCTGCATAATGCGCAATGTGCCGTTTCAGTACTTCATCGATGTTCTCATGTCAAATGTATGATTTCAATAGTACCAATCTTTGTAGTCATGTATTTCATCTGCTTTCAAATGCGAAGACTGTTTTACTGAACATAAAGAAAATTACCTATGAAATGAATTATTTCAATCAGCATTCTGTTCGCTTATTCCCCGTGAATTTCAAAGATAAGATTTCCATTTCGCTCAAATATTCACGATTTCATAAAAAAAACGAACGTTTCTAACGGCATTTGCCACAACTGGCACAAGCGGTTAATTCCGATACCTTGTTTGGCTAAAACGAAATATTTTTAAAGCTGAACTAAATACTAACACTTTATGTTAGTTGAATAATGACCAAGACGGGAATGTTTACTAATCTTTCTTTTTTCATTAAAATCTAAGAAATACTCAGTTGAATTACAGTGTCCGTAAGAAACGACTGAATAGTAGTACCATTAACATACTGTTCATTTATTTTCCTTTCATCAAGTAAAAATTTTCTTGTAATTAATATTTTGAAATCATCGAATACATGAATGCTCATAACAAGAGTACTATTTGAATATTTTTGTTTCGGATCGAGTACATTTTTAGAGGTATTTCATTGATTCATGGTGATATAAAAATAGAATAATTTCAATACATTTCCTTGTGAACATCTGGTGTGGCAAACTGTACATTTTCTAAAGCAAATTCGCATGTATTCCAAATCATTAAAAGCAAAGGCTGGAATATTATAGGAAGAAAAGTCAACATCTTTTACTCTATCGCCGAGTTTGGCACATGCTATTCTTGGAAACTGTCTTCAGATCTTGAATAAATATCTTCAATCACACAAGTTCAGAAATAGAAAAAAATTTAATTTTGGGAATTCATCTTAAAAGCCTAATGGCGAACGTGTCAAGACGTTGCTTCTATGATTAACTAAGAGCATGTAACCAACATAGTGTAGGCTTCCATTAGCTGATAGGAATACTAGACTCCGTTTGAAAATGCACTCAGGAGGAATAGATTGCGTTCATATCTACGCGAGGCACTGCCGAATCAATAGAAACATGTCAAAGCATCTTTTGGACAGCTTTTGAAAAATACAACACTGAAATTGTTGTTCAATAAGAAAAGTTGAACATACTTCGATCTATGGTTCAGAGAGAAGCTGTTTCTCAAACTACCGGAGAGTTCACTACAGAACTATAAAACATTAATGCGCGGGAAACATTTTCCTGAATATGACAAAAAAGGAAATATTATACTCGATATGACAAAAGAATTACTCAAATCAAGTTTAATGAAATAGATCTGATACAGAAATTTCATTGCTATCGTTTTATTTGCTAAGTACAATTTTAAAACCATTCATTGATAAAATATTGAGCTCTTTCAGTTATTACTTTGTGTTAACGTACCTGGTTTTACAATATATTTTGTTATTGTGTTTGCTCTTGTCAAAAGCTCCTTGGTTCCATACGTGACACTATTGATGGTGTTGTTAGTTTTTTGTAAAGCAGAAATAATTATTGTTTCAGATTTCTTCTTTTTTCCGACATCTAGAAAACAACAATAATCATGCAAGCATATGTATATAATAAAAGCTGTTGACACAATTTCATACGATGAGTGTAGCTATTAAAAAGTAGCTACCGTGAAAACAAACTATTCTAATTCCAGCTTCGATTTTGTGCAAACTACTCATTGAAATTTACGGTGCAGTTCTGTTTTGTTTTTGTTCTTTTTATAAATGAAGATCGGTAAACGTAAAGTCCTGATAAAAGATATATTTAATTGATGCTTCATAATTTATAACCGAAAAGTTCTCAATGAATCGAAATAAAACGGTTTTTTTAAAATTCTAAATCAACGATGATGTGAGACATGTACTTCATCAAATTATAGTAAACATTTCTCGTAACTGTACCGTTAGTATAAGGACGATCAAAAACTTTATCATCGAATTTGTAAAAATACCTTTTCTTTGAATGATACGAATAAGTGGTTGCGATTGATCACCTTCAACAATATCAATACTAGATGGTTTTTCCAGCATACGTCCAAGTTTTTCGAGTTGCGTATTCCATTGCTTTAATTCTATTTCGGTAAAATCATCTGATGCGCGACTAGATGTTAATTCATTCTTGATTTTGTTAAGTGATTGTGTTAGTTGAGTTTTGGCTTCCTCTATGTATTTGGCTAGATCGATTCTAGCTTTTTCTGCTACTTCTTGAATTCTATTCAATGATGTCTGTTCCCATGCATTAATTTGCGAGAGAAGCGAATATCCAATATTATTTGCATCTAAATTTTTGTGAAGGTCATCATGCTGCTGGCCAATGCGCTCCATTGCTTCGCCAAGACCTTGTCGATGTTCAATAAAATGCTTAGTACAAAACCATGCCTGGCATCCACCGCACGTTGCGATTCCTGCATTTTTAGGGCATTTAACACAAGGTTTTTTACTTCGAGCTGATGCCATATTTCGTTAGCTATAAGAAAACTCATATTTAAAAGTTTATGCTAGTGTTGCTTTCTCATTAGAAAGAATCATAACAAAGACACGATTTCTGATTGCACATTTTACAATAGGAGCGATAACATACAACGATACTATCAAATCTGCTTCTATATGCTGGGCAATGACCTGAGTATGCTTACTTGGAAAAGACGTTTTCAGTATGAAGTCAATATTTTTTCAATACAATTGCACTAATTTTTGGCAAAATATTGAAACTAGCGTATAGCAGTGGTGCTCAATAAAATATTAAATAGTTAGTTTATGAATATTCATTATCTGTAAAAATGAATTCACTACACAAGAAATTGCTCGATGTCAATAGCTTTCAAATATTTCAACTTATCTCCTTAACACCTTTAAATCGCAAACGAGCTATGCAATGAATAGTTCTTGATTTTGAGGGTACTAGCATTGATTTCACCGAAATCTATTTAAGCCTGTTATCTTAAAGTATCATAACCATTAGAAATGATTTATCAATTGTTTCTGCCATCTTATAATCATTAACATTTTGAAATCGATTCAAATATGAATCAGAAAGCCATTTTGATAACCTTGTCTGATTGAATATCCACTAGTCACTTTCAGAATTTTCACTTTTACGATATGTAGTCATCATGATACAGAAAAAAAAATCTTTCAATCAGACACTTACCTGAAAAAGAAAGAGAAATGTAAATAAATTTCACTTTCGTCGTTTAGTTAAATTTTTATAGATTTTGCTCTTTTTCTTTTCATCACCAAAAGCTAACAAACGACGTGCCTTTGGCTTATTTGCATTTTCTTCTACACCGCCCATGAAGTTAGAAGGTTTCTATAAAAAAAAACACTTCTTCAACTAGTACTAGAGTTTTATAGGAGTGAAATTAAGTTCCCCCGCCGACCTATTTTTGCTATTCATCACACTTCGCCGCCATTACTGATCTATATCAAATCATTTAGAACAAGTTTAACAGTCTAATTGTATGAGGGATACAATCGAGAAGTGGATTTGTTTTTCAGAAAATGAAGGATCATGTAAAATAACTATTGATGATTATTATTGAATACAACTGATCGCTCTTCATATTCGATCAAAATACAGTCACTCAAGCTGCTTATTACAACCGCTAGATGTGTATAATATATATATATATATGCTACTGTGATTGCGAATGATTCACAGATTCATGGCTTCTGTTACATTCGATATAAATAATGTACAATATGAAACAAAAAGAAATGGTATATGAGAAAACAAAGAACTCATGAATAATCAGCAGATCAGCAAGGGAGATATACACAGAGAAAATAAAGGAAATGAAATCGCTACTAGGTCATAAGAGAGAAAAACAACCTTTATATGCAAATACGGTTTCCTCATTAATTGATCTTCGACGAGGAACTAATAGGTCTTTCATATAACAAAGTATTTAAGGTCAAGTAAAATAGGGCTGATGTGTAGAACTCATGTCAATATTCGAGCCTATCAGTTCAGCGATAAATCCAGTTGAATGTATTGCAAAAAAGTTAAATACCTTGCGCATCTACAATAATTATTTTCACTCGGTTTAGTTCTCGATAAGCAGAGGTCAAAGGCGTACAAAACATTTACTACGTAATCTTTGATAAGAATTGATTGATTTTTAGAGTATTCTTTATGTTAATGAAATATCAATGTACAGTACCAATATGCATGTATGAAGTCAGCGAGACCAATTGTATGCTACATGATTGTTTTCTTTTCATTACTGAGACCAAAGTATTTTTCCGAAGATAAATTAATTTTAGGTGAGATCTATTTATTATTTCGCGAAAAAATATTATATTTTTTTTACGATAAGAAGGACAACAAGCTGATATATGTATTCATATAATAAATACAAATAAAAATAATAATAATAAATGTGAAGTAATGGAAGCCAATGAACACTCAAAAACAAACTAAAACCTCTGGGTTAATTATTTGAATTTTTTGTTTCTGCTAATTGCTTTCAAAAAATTACGGTAATAGATTTTTTGGTATTATTCAATTACTCGACTTGACAAAACATTTTGAAAGAAATATTTCTATTAGAATTATAAATATTGTATGTTAATATTTGGTGAATAATTAAAGCATATATTTCAACATCACGATGCAACACATATTGTTTTTTAATCAAAAATAATTTTCTGCTTATCGGATTTAACATTCTATTGGTCAATTTCTGCGTGCCAATAAAAAAGAAGTCGTGATTCACTGATACTTATCGCTATTTACATGCTCGGATATTCGATAAAGTTCTTTACTTTTGATGTCTGACACGGTCCGACGTCTTCCTTGGGGTGCGGAAAGGCACATACGTTCAACATTTACTATTGATCCAACATCATCTCTCGATCCCACAATAAAACCAGGAGAATATACATTAAATGTACTTTTAAATCAATTTTTTATCACTGCGGAAACACGTATTGCTGACGTCTGCTCGGAAAGTAAACAGGTTAGTTTGATGTTTTTTCTTCTTTGTCTGCATCTTTTAATGAAATCATTTGATAGCATATACCACTTAATCAATGTTTGAGACGTGGTGATGATGTTAATTTTGATCAATTACTTGATGTAATTCAATCAATATCTGAACATTCACTACCATCACTTGTACGCATTACATTCGAATGGTTTCGTCATCATATCAACGATGATCAGTTGAAGTTACGTGCAACAAAGCCAACAACAACAACAGCACCTGGATTCAGGTAAGAACGACAAAACGATTCTATTAGTTCTGTACACATATGTTTATATTTAATTACTGTAGGGATAACGATTGGCTTGAAGAACGTCGACAAGTAAATAGGACGATAATTCTTTTATCTGCTAGGAAATCTTGTCTTTTTAATAACTTTTTAGCTTACTGTACATTTTATATTTTGTCTAATTTTGATTGATGTTCTTAAACAGGTAAATATTAATAATAGAAACGAAAGAAAAATAAATCATGCTGTTACATTCAGTTGTCATTCCATCCGGGCTTCGATATATCTAATATTGAAGATCAAGCTTTTAAATGGTTTCGTTGTAACGAAAAATTTAATGATATGTAAGAAAAACTAAATCGAAAAAATAGCATTCAAAAAATATGTATACTTAAAATTTTCAGGACATCAACACAACCCAATCAACTCAATTATCAAACAATTTGTGATCTATATGCTGAAGTTGTTGGTGTATTAGCTCAAAGCCGGTATCATAAACAATCTATTCTTTTGTGTTTCTCATGTAAATAAACAAAAACCTCTTTTCTAGCTTTCTATCAGTTAAACGACGTTTCATGCTTGAACTAAATAATTTACGAAAAGAACCTGCTAGTCCATCAGTCAATGGAAATATTATTAATCTTAATACTGGCATGAGATTTTTTCGTGTGAAAGTAAATCTAATTCAATACTCATTATTCTTACGCTATATATTATTATTATTATTATTATTAATATTTATTAGATGACACCCGTTGAACATTTTGAAGCTTGTTTTCAATTTCTTCTTGATTTAGCAAACTATTTTCTTGAAGTACGAGAACGTGATATTAAAAATTCATTAGCAAATTTATTTGTTGAAATTCTACTACCAGTTGCTGCGGTAAATAAAACGAAAATTTTCAGTATCCGCATGAAATTTTGTATCTAGGTTGTGAAACTTGAAATGAACATTCCAATAGTGCGAAATTTTGTCGATCTATTATATTCACATGTTTTCGATCTATGTTCAAAAAACAAGCATCGCTTAGTAAGAGCCAATATAGATAGGCATATTTTTCATTCTAACCTTGAATCTTTTAGGTTATGTTTCCACTCATGACATGTTTATTATGTATTAGTCAACGACAAGTATTTTTCACGAACTGGAATAAATTCATGTTACTTTGTCTGGGTAATCTGCGGGGTGAAGCAAAACTGGCTCGTATATCATTAGAATCATTGTATCGACTTGTTTGGTAAATCAATAATATTCACTTGAATAGTGCTTTTGATTTTATTATCCTTTTAATCCCTAGGGTTTATATGGTTCGATTTAAAGGTGAAAATGTTAAAACGACAAATCAACATTTAACCTGTATTGTCAATAGTTTATTCCCGAAAAGTTTTAAAGCATTGACACCCAAAGATATTCCATTAAATATTTTTGTTAAAATTATTCATTTTATATCACAAGTAAACGTTCATAATTGATTTTTGTAAATAAAAAAATGCATGTTGTTTATTTCAGGAAAAATTAGATTTTGCAATGAAAGATATTATATTCGATTTACTTAGTGTTGGTCGATGTCGAAATTTAAATCCTGAAGTAAATTATTATATTCGAATCAATATAATTATTTCTTTATGTGTTTTTTTCTCTCTCCATAGCGAATGAATGTTGGCTTACGAGCATTTTTAGTTATAGCTGATAGTTTAGCTCAAAATGAAGAAGAGCCTATGATGCCTCTTCATAATGGTAGAAACTAATTTTCTTTCTCTTGTTGACTAAATTCAATATATATATATATATTTAGTTACATTTCCATCGGGACATACATTACGTCCACGACGTATATGTACAAAAATGATAAGTGATTCAATAGTAAAAGAAATCGGTTTACAAAATTATTATGAACCAATTCGTAAAACATTTGATACAATACTTAAAATGCTTGATACACAAGTGGGCAGATGTTTATTAGTAACACGGCCGGATAATGCAAATAAAGATACTGATGATTTATTAAGGTGAAAAAGAAGAAAAAAAATTGTAATTTTTTTGTTATTTACTTTTGAATTTTTAGTGGTGATCGAAAGCCAAAAATTGATCTTTTAAGAACATGTATAGCAGCATTACCACGTCTTTTACCGTTGGGTACATCTCAAGAAGAATTAATTGAAATGCTTGCTAGATTAACTATTCATATGGATCATGAATTAGCTGTTCAAGCTTTTCAATCACTTCAATATTTCGTTATTGAATTACCTGAATGGCGAAAAAGTGTTTTTCGTGGTTTTACAAATTTTATCATTCGTGAAGTAACTGATCAATTAATGTTTTTATCTGATACGGGCAAGACAACATTAGATCGATCAATGCGTTTTCTACTACAATTATTACAACAATGGAAACATGTACTAATTAATTCGACAAATAAAGTAAGTGTGCGACTCGGTTAACATCGAGTTAAAAGTTCGAATCCGATGGGAGTGCATTCACAAATAGTTTTTCTTTTGAATTGAAATTCATTTCAATGATCTTTTTTCTAGCAAAATATGGGCGCAAATAGTCAATCGAGTTTATCACAACAAACCGATATGGAAACATTAGCTATGGCAGAAGGTTTTGGAATTATTGCACTTTGTCAAACACATCATAGTCGACGAAAATATAGTGTTATGATATTACGTGAAGTAAAAAATATTGCCGTAGCATCAAAATGTTTACAAGTAAATAAAATTGATGAATTCCTGTTCATAATTTTTTCTTCATTCTCTATTTAGCCCAATCAAGTTTGTTTAATTGACATCTTAGATGCAGCTGTACCAACAGTTATCGAAAAAATAACACCATCATTAACGCTTCAAGAAAAAGTATTAAAATTAAGTTTTCCTCTTTTCTATTGTTCTGTTTGTTTTTCTCTTCATTAGGCTAATCTGTTATGTAATTCTACGGGTGACTTATCATGGCTTGTTGATCGTTCATCAATGTGGGATGCACAAGAAGAAACAAAAACGATGCCAATATCTTCAGATGTTAATGTGACAACAAATGTACTTCAATCAACAACATCACTTGTAACATTAAATCCTAATCAATCAACAGTGTCACCACTGATGAATGCATCATCAACAAACATAACACCTACACCATCATTAGCTATTATTCCTCAAACACTACAAAATCAACCGTCTCAATCCCAACTATCGCTATCATTACCAAATTCATTATTGCAATCATCGAATAATTTACTTCTATCAACGCAAACAATGGCAGCTACAAATTCAAATGCATCGACAGCCACATTAGCTTCAACAACAACGCAAAATACGACAAATAATAATAATCTATCGAATTCGTTAACATCAAATGAATTAAACGCAAGATTTGATATGTGGACTGAATGTCTTGCGGAACTATTTGTTTATAAAAATATTCTTAAATGTCAATTGACACGCATTGAAGCTTGGAGAATGGTATTTTTTCGTTTGACACAATTATTTCCCTATGTTGATCCAAAGTAAATAACCTAATGAAAAAAAACTAGAATGATAATTAAAATTATGTAAATTTTTGTCACTTTTCCAGCAGTCAAACAACGGAAATTCGTTCATCATTTGTTTTTCGAAATACGGATATTTTAAAGAAAAATGAAAAAGAATATAATTTAAATTTATGGAAAAATTATTTAATTTGTGCTTGTTGTTTAACACTTTCTGGAACTGAAAAATCACAACAATTTAATGTTGATACAAGGTAAAAATAAAAGTGCTATGTTTTCTTCTTCTAGAAAGATTCTATATTGTTTATTTTAATAGTGTTTATCAAGAAACACATCAGGATTCATCGAAATTTTATACACCAGCATCCAATACTGCTGTATCATTATTTCGCATTGTTGTAAATGTAAGCATGATGATCAAGTATTAACAATAGATGTTGAACTATACATTAAAATTGAAGATAGACAGAGAAAATTTTCAGTCCTACTCTTTATTATATAAGCATATTTAGAGCTGCTATTTGTCTACGTAGCTCTTCGTTCGAAGCTTATACAATTCAAAGAATACTCTATATTTTTTCGCACTTTATTTACTGATATTGAATAATTCACAAACATTTGTTTGTCGCAGGTTTATAAGCCATAGAACACTAAATCAAGGTAGCCATCAGTTGTTTTAAGAAAATGTAACATGTGTGATGTAGGAATATCTATGATGTTTTCCAATAGCCATTTATGAGTAGAAACTAATATAGTCTTCTGCTGAACAGCATAATATTTCTATCACATATTTAAATAAAACTTCAGTTTTGCGTTCAGAAAACGAAATTGAATGTTTTAATCAAACTAATCATTGCTCAACGTGTAAAACACACGGCTTACTATTTTACTGTCAGTTCGATAAAAGACAGAGGAGTCAACAATGAAAAAGGTCAAAAAAAAACATCTTCCAATAGAAAAACATTATCAAAGTGATAGAAGACTTTGAAATAAAAGCATTTTCAATATTAATAAATCATAGCAAACAAATGTGGCAGTGACTTATTAAAAGTTTAATATATTCTAGTTACTTCGTTGTGAAACCAGTGATATGAGAGAAATCGTTATTCGTGGTCTTGGTCGAACGAATCCTGAAGCATTCAAGTTTGTGAAAAATTTGTGATTTCTATTAAATTATATATTTTGCTTTAATTAAAGAGATTTATTGGAAGATTTAACAGTTCACATAAAAGATGGTATGGAAATTAAACCAGACAAAGTTCGCCGAATGCGAAAACGTGATTATATGCGATTACGTTTAATTCGTATTTTTGAATTACTAGCCGATCGTGAAGTATTTCGATATTGGTAATATAATTAAATTATTTTTTGTTTATAACAAACGCGTTTATTTTAGTTATGCAAATGAAACAGACCTAAAACATCCATCGTATCACGTCTATCATGATTATCTTCAAAGTGCACTGAGCTATCTTGATCTTGAAAATGAAAAAGACTCCGATTTAATTCAACAGATTCGTCAATATTTTGCTCAATTTGTTTATAAATTTATTAATCAAGTCCCTCGTATGTTATTGTGTTTTTTTTTGTTGAATCTATTTATTTATCCTATAAAAATTTAGATCAAATACGTGAATCATTAATTCCACCACAAATTCGTTATAGTCTTTTTGAATTATTTCGCAAATGGAGTGGAAATTTAAATATTATGCCTGTGTTCGCTTCGCCTAGGTAAACAAAAAGAATAATTTTAGGAATGGAATTTTAAAAACATGAGTTTATTTCTTTAAGTCATATACGAGAGCAACAACTCAAAGCAGAACCATGTAGCGAATTAGAATTAATTGCTATTCGTGCTTGTGCAGCAACACTTTGTTGTGGTACAATAAAAGATGAATGGTTTCAAAAGACTGTCGTCCCATGGCTTGATCAGTTCATGGCAGCACATGAGGTAGTATTAGAATATAAATAGTTGACTTCGTTTTCTTTTGTCTAATAATATTTTTGCATCTCTATCAAGATCTATCCATCATTGGTTGTAAGTGTTTTGTTTATACCTATGCGATTCTTTGTTAATCTCAGATGCTCAGAGAATTTAAATCAAGTTAAAAGAACGCATTCTAACTTTTAAGCTTATTTCTTCTTCTTCTTCTTCTTCTTCTTCTTAAACTGTGTCTGAATCTGCTTATATGTGCTAAATTGACATAATTTGTTTTTCAATTGAATTATAAGTTTGAAGGTTTCTATTCGAGAACGACAGTTCGATATTTATTTATTGGATGATCGTTTTTTTTTTGAAAACATGAAAGTGGTTAAAATCGTTTTTTTGCACCGTTCAAACGAGTTTGATTTCTTTTTAAAAGGACTTCTGTTGAAGACAACTGTTAATGATATTTCAAGAGGCGTCTCAAAGTAAATCTTGAGGGTATTATCAAGGAACCTCCCTTTTGTTTCTAATAGAAAACTCGAAGTAACATCAAGCTCGTACATTTCTCGTTGAATATAAACTTCAAACTCACTTGATTTGAATTTTTGGTGTTGGTAAATATCTACTTGCTCAAGCTCTCTTAAAACAAAAACAAATCTTCTCGATAATATTTTCAATATACATTGTTCTATTTATATTAATTTAGACATGCCAATTATCGGTGACAACTCTTTATCAACTACTTGAGTTGCATGGTAAAACAACGAATACAATGGTTGTTGAATGGGTTATCGACCGATGTTATACGAAATCAGTTCGTTTTAGTGATCGATGTTTTACTGCTCTTGCGAAAGTATTTATTGAAGTAGCCAGGTAAGTCACTTCATGCTTAATTTCTATTAGAGAATCGATTTAATTTTTATTTAAAGCGATTATCCATGTGATTTACCATCTGTTTTAACATTAACATTAACTAATGTTGGATCACCACGAATGCATGTTCATGAATTAGCATTACGATTAATGGTTGTTTTATGTAAAGGACATCTAAGTGAATCTCAACCGACCACAAGCCAACAATCGAATGGAATATCATCATCAGATGATGTGGCATATATTATATCTCTGGCTTCAAATTATTCGAAAAGTCAAATGATGCTTAGCGAATATTTAGCAAGGCGTCGACCCGATTTAACTATGGCAATGTTTTCAGGTAAAAAACAGAAAAAATTGAATTAAATAAAAAGAAGATTTTTTCGTCGCGTACGTTTTTTCAATAGAAATTACAACACGAATTTTAACGGCCAATTCAAGTTCACGAGGAACTTTATTTATGATTTTATTACCATGGATACATAGTATTGAACTTGTCGATTCATCACTGCCTAGATGTGGTAATGGACATGATGTTACATTAAATGAAGAGCAAGGAAATGCATTTCTACAAGGAACTGGTTGGGGTTCAGTACAATCAACTGAACTTGTATTGAATAATCTTTTCTATTTGACAGCAACAGTATGTTATTCTTCTATTTTCACAACTAACCAATAGATCATCATGAATCAGAATAAATCTACATAGAATTTTCCTGTTATCCAAATACTAGAAAAAGGAGTCTTTAGAGTTTGATTTTCGCCTTTCAATAAGAATCTCTATACATCATATTGTTTACGATTGATAAAACCGCAAAAAATTAGATGTCAAAAAAATCTTAGAGCCTCTATTTTTGTTAGAATAGTAAATAATCAGATACACAACTAGTTCGATTCATTAGGATCCCTTCGTTGATAAAAAACAATTTATGTATATATTTTTGAAATTATTTAGTTTTCATCTGAACATGCAACTGAACTTGAATTACTATGGAATGCATTAACAGGGTAATAGCTATTAGTTTTTTTTGACTCACATATAAAATAATCTCTCATCCTTCATAGAACTTGGTTACATAATTTAAAAGTAATACTACGTTATATGTTAATAATGATAACTTTATCTCCATGTGAATTATTACCATATGCAAAGAAAATTATTCTGTACATGTGTAAAAATCATGAAGAACGTTTATTAAATGAACTGTTGAATGAATTACAGATAACAGAATCGTTAAATATTTCACTTGAACGAACCGATACATTACCCTTTTATCGGTTTAATAATTCAACACCCACATTTTTTATAAATAATACAAGTACAACACAATCATCAGGAACGAATTCAGTTCGAAAAACATCAAATATGAATGAACATCGAGGAGTTCTGCATACGAAACGTCACGATAGTGGAGAAGATAATCTTCAACAAGATAATATTTCATATTTGAGTACAAATCACAAAATGCGTACACTATCACAAAATAGTTTATCAGCAAGTTTCAATGAAAAATTAACCACAGATACCGATAAAGGTTAATACTATTGAACAGATTTTCCATTCTATTCACGAAAAAGAGCTTGTATCCTTAGATTCTTTCTGTGGAAATATCTTTCTTTTCTCTCGAATGCATATCATAGGTCAGTACCGGGAAGCGCATCTTAAATTTCGGCTTACAACTTTGTATTATCATAGAATTTAATGAACATTAATAGAAAGATTATCTCTATATAACGATTGCAGAATCTTCCCAGGAATAAATCAAGGCTGTTGATTGCTCGTTGAGACCAATATTGATTTATTCCCAATGAGTGTATAGAAATATCTAATGAGGTTTTTTTTTATTTTTGAACAATTAGATCATCCAGCGATGGTACGCGTTGATGAATTTTTACAAGCAGCTCCTTTACCATTGGCTCCATACGGTGGTATTGCAGCTCCATTAAAAGCTCTTCTACCAGAATTATCTATTCCAATACCATGTCTATTTCGGTGTAGTATCGCTATAATGCTTATCAATGAACTTATTGTAAGCGGCCTTCAAATTGATTGGTCAGCTCATTTGCCTCAATTGTTACATGTTGCTATGCTTGGTAGAGTATATTTTTTGATTTTGAGGAAAAAATAAAAATTTGACTATTCAATTTAAGGTATGGATCATAATCGAGCCATTGTTTATGAACATTGTAAAAGTCTTGTATTCAATCTTTTACTTGCATTCAGTGTTCAATCAGATCAAATATGGTTAAGCGAAATGCTTCTTTCGCATGTTGATTGGGATAATAGTAAATTATCAACTAAGATTCGTCAAGAACGTGATTCCAATGGTATAAATACGAATTTTCAATCGTTATTTACTGATAGTCTTAATGATAATTCGTTACCATCAAATAATGAAATTTTAACCGATACAAATTCTCCAGCGAATTCAACACGTGAAGAAGTTGTTCAACGTTTAATCGCATATTTAGATGCGAAGAAAGGTTGTCCTCTATGGGCATACGAAGATATCACAGCTCAATTACACACAATACGTAGTGCATTACAATTAACACAGTTTGTTCAATGGATTGTTATCTTGTTTCGTACATGTGTACCACAAGCAATGTTAGAAGAACGATGGATGGAATTAGCACTACGAATAACACTCAGTTGTTCTAGTCGACATTATGCTGGACGATCCTTACAGGTTTGAATCCCTTCATCCAATGCTATATAGAAATGAACTATCGAAATAGTACCGACAGGAAAATCGAGAAAAACTAACATATCATAAACTACTTTCAAGTCTTTGTATAATACCAATAGACAGCTTATCCAGGAAATTCTAATTTAATCGATCAAGAAAATATTTGTTTTCTCTAGACAAGTTCTAATTATGTACCGATTTCTTAAATTGAAAATTTTATTTTTAAAAAGAATGATAAAAAAAGCATTATTATTACTATTATCATTTCATTTAGATGATTCGTGCGTTAGGTTTACCGTTAAATTTTCGATGGGTTATCGATATACTTTCTCGATTAGTTGAAACCGTTGCTGAACATAACGATGATATGCAAGGATATGTAACAGAGATTCTATTAACTTTAACACATAACATCGATCCAATACATAAACAAATCAGTGGTTTATTTACAACCACGATACAACAATCATCACCATCAAAAGAACCATTAAATCCTCATGTAATTAATCCTTTGCTATTAACAAATAAAATTGAAGCACTACAAAATCGTTTATTTCCAAATGATCGCCGGCAACGTCATCAAACATTATTACGTCAGCCATCTCGTGATCGTTTATCAATTATTGTTACAAATTCCGGTATGGCAACAGCACCGACAAGTCCAAGAAATCAAAATATGAATACTTCCACAACATTAATGGATGGCCATTCAACATCAACCATATGTCCAAGTCCATCGATGAATAACGGTTTTCTACTTCGGCCAGAAGATCAACAACTTTTACTACGTCTTAGTCCCGAATCAGATCGTAGCTGTTCATCAACAACATCAACATTAACACGTTCACGAAGTGCACAAAATGTTCGTCAACAACAAACCTTATTTTTCAATACAATCAATAATAATAATAACAACAACAACAATACGATGTCAACAAATACAAATAATGTTCAAACATTAGCTGCATCAATTGACGATGCTAAAACTGTTTTAGCACAATTATTTTGGATTGGTACATGTCTACTTGAATCCGACTACGAATACGAATTCACATTATCAGTACAATTGTTAACAACAATTATAAATAAAATACAATTGAATACATACGATTATGTTGATCGTATTATGAATATACTTAAAACAATAAAATGGCAACAATTTCCCGGTTTGCAATCATTAGCTTTAAAAGGTTGTACATCAACAGTAACCTATGAATCTACAATGATATTGATTAGTTGTTTAACGAACATGCTAACGTCGCCATTTGTAACAATCAATAATTCTTCATTGGCGATCAATGTTATTGCTCTATTACCATATATGATGTATAATTATGATAATCAACATGTTGTTTGTATACAAGCAGCTGAAAGAATAGCTCGAGTATGTAATGAACATGATGAAAAGGCGAAATTAACTGATCTTGCTACGGTAATGTCATTATATGCACAAGGAAAATTTAATTCAACTGCATCACAATGGGCGAAATGTGTTCTGAAATATTTAACGGATGTTTATGTACAGGATTCAATAAATTGGATTCGATTTTTATGTGAAATACTTGATAATGGCCCAAATTATTTACAATTATCAATCTTAGATATATTTTATCATCTTGTAACATTAATTGATACGAAAATGTTGAATGATTACGCTTTATTTAACAATGAACTTGTTCGAACATTATGTAAATATGTTAATAAAGCTGAATTTTGTAATGACGTCACTAAAACATTAAAATTATTAATACAACGCTCATCAATATTATCAACGCCAAAACATATAACAACGAATAATCATTATAATACAACACCACTCAGTTCATTGATGGGTGAAGTTCACTTTTTTGATAACCATAAAAGTAGTATTGAACTACCAGGTAAGATAAGAAATATGTTTCTTTTTTCAACAGTGAACTTATTATCTATGTGTCTACACAAATAGGTCGAACATTGGATATTGATTATAATTTATCACAAATTATGAATGCTATTAAAACAAAAGACCAACAAAATCATACAACATCGAAATCTTCGGCAATAGCAACAACTATGAATAATCGTCGGCGACATGCATATATTGGAACAACAGGAGCTAATTCTGAAATGGATGCATCCAGTTGGAAACAAAATGCTGCTCAATCACAGGTCTAGAAATGATAGTATTACTGTTTTTGTTTTTTCTATGTATAATCTGAATTTTAGACAAGAACTCGTGAACATTTAGTTGCATTAATGTTTGCATGTGGTAAACAAGCTGGTCTTTCAAGATTACCATTAAATCGAAGTGCAAGTGTAAGTTTTGAATAAAGCAAAAAAATTATTTTACTTTTAATGATTTTTGTTTTCATCCAATAGGTTGTATTTAGTCAAACAAGTGATTTAGCAGAACAACCTCCGATTGGTAGTTTGCCAAGTTCGAGTAAAGAATCTATGACATCGGAAAATGTTGATCAAACATTTATATCAAAACAATTTGACTTCTTGAATGATGAGGTTTGTTTTAAACATCAAAATCGACTACGCCATTTGCATGATTTTAAAATATATATATATATTTATTTATTTTTGTGTTGTATTCTATTTAGGATTCACTTCATGAAATGTTTCCAATTACAACTGATGGACAAGATTTTGGTGATGAAGATGATGGACTAATGACAACATTTGATGATGCTCCGTTGCCTGTTGAAAATGAGGTATAGAAGGAAATTTTATAATTTAAAAGAAACGAAGAATAAAAATAGAATTGTTCTTGTTTATTCTGATGATGCTATTTTATTATTCATCACTATTACCTTTAGCCACGACCGAATAGTATCAGCAATACATTACGAAATTTATCATCAGTTGGTGAATGGTTTGATCCATCTAGAATAAAATCCAAATTTCGTGGAAAATTACCAGTATTTAATAGTAACAGTGGAAGCAAAACAGCTTCTCGCAAGGTTATTTTCGACAGTCTTGTGTTTAATTTCGTTGTCCCTTTCTTCTGCTTTACATCTACTTATAATAATTTTTATTGTATAATAACAAAATGTTATTCCGGTGTTTGTTTCTGTCTCCTAACAGCAATAACCTACTGCTTCCTAAACAAGCTTTATTTGTTAACATGTCTTATTGATTATTATGTTAGACAATTAATTGAATCTATTTTTGACTTTAGCATAGTGCAAGTGATTTTATTCAAATGACTGATGTTATTGTTGATACATCGAGACATGTGGAAGAATTTACATCCGCTATGGATGCGTCGACTACAACAAATACAATGGCAGCAGCATCAACAACAGGAAGAGAAAGAACAGGAGCTTCAATAAATTTGTAAGTATTTCAAATAAATAGTTCAACTGATTTTTATTCTACGCTCATGCAAATGCATGTTTTGCTGTATGTCAATAAATTTTTCTAGTCTGCATTGCTCACAGATCGTAGATAGAGTAGAGCCGAAAAAAATCAAAAGGAGAGCACCGAGCAAATGCTGGACATCATGGCCACGGTATGTATTTTTGTTTTCTTCTCTCTACTTATTCAAGTAACTTGTGCTTCTCTTGTCCTAACTGTGTGCTCGCTTATTTCTACGTTTAAAAGTCATTTCAAATACATATAAAGTAAAATTATTTTTATTTCTATTCTAGTGAAGATATGCCTGATCTAGGCGTTTCTCAAAATTATCATCCAACTGGACTTTTACATATCATTACAATGAATAATGAATATATTGAAGATGCTTGGCAAACACATTCTAGAAATTTAATCGATGAAATCAACCCATCTGATAGTGTCAAAACATTTTTATTATTTCGACGCTTGTTTAAGGTAAAACATTTTTAAATGAATAAAACCCATTGAATTTTGTATGTTTATATTTATCAAGGAAATTCGACGACGATTATTTATATTCGTTCACGAAACTTGCCATTGCCTTTCCATGGATAATCGTTTCCGACAAACAGTTTCACAATTTGGTAGATTTTCATTTTTTTGTTGAAACGCAAAGTACAAATATATTTCTTGTTTTTCGTCTTCTTCTAGTTCATATGCTTAATATTTTAATGGAGAATCTTGATTGTACATTAGTTTTCGTTGATGAAAATATAATGAGTATCAATCAATTATTAATAAAACATCGTTTAATTATATCAGAACTAAATGAAAATTATGGAAATTATATGTCAAAAAAAGCTTTAGCAATCGACTGTCTAGATTCAATTAAAGCCAATCTTAAATTACAATCATTAGGTGAACGAGGCTATGATAAATTTGTTTCAAATGAACAAAAAATTCATATGTGTAAACACCTTTATAGTAAGTAAATAATTTATTAGAGAATAAATAAGGAATTCTCTCGCTTCATAGAAAATATTTCTATTGAGCATATTTGTGCGTGAGTAAAAGTTTCATTGAATAGTTGATAATTTTAAAATATGAGTGGATTACAGTGCAAATATTTTGGTTTCATAATATTTTACAGTGGATGTCATATGAATTTCAGTACAATTCGTTTTACTTCTATTTTCACGCTTGGGTAAAGTTCACGGAATTTCTTAAGAGAATTGATTTCAAAGTGTAATTTAGTAACATTGCTTATTCTATATTTGAAATGTTCGGCTCAACGAGTTTTATTCAACCATGATAAAAATTTCAAAATGAATTCTACTGAAAGGTTTTTCATGTTGTAACATTACATCATAATCTATTGGCTCTAATAAATTTTTGAGCTTAGATCTGATAATTTTACGAAAACAAATCAAGTCTTAACTGACTGTTAATATCATAGAATCCTCTGTAATTTGGCTTAGTGACATTCTAATCGAAAACTAAATATTTGAATTTTTTAATATCCTGATCCGCGCGTGCCATAAGCAACTGTTATTTTAAATATTTTGTTTTGCCAGAAAGACTATCGCAAATATTTTTGTTTGATGACAAATAACTGTTCGTCGCGAGAAAACATTTTACTATAAGAAATTCAATAGGACTAGCTCAATTCTATTTCTATTTGATTTTTAGAACAGACCTGTCAGACTAAAAGTATTGTAAATAAAATGTTCTTCCTAATTAAAGCAATTCAAAACAGAGTTGCCGAGAAAAAAAATTTAGTAGAATTGAATTTTTTTCATTGATGTCTATATAGGAGTTTTAGAATAAATAGTGTAAAAATAGTCTGGCACACTCACATGCGTTTATTTTCTTGACGATGAAGAATGAAAAATATATTTGATTTTAATTTAGATTTATTTTTTCAAGTCATAACATTAGCAGAAAGTTATTCAAAATTAGTTCATAATTTATTGCCCGTTGCACGTGATTCAACAATCAATGTACGAAATTTATCTGCAGAATTTACATTAACATTCAAAGGTTTAAATGACTTTCTAAGTGATCTACGTTCGGGTAAAGAAGATCAACCAACAATTGAAAAAAATAATCTACCAAATCGTGAAACAGCTATTGCTTATATATTTCAATGTTTACATTCAAATACATATTCAAATGCCATTAAATATCTTCGATCAGCGAGGTATAAAATACAGAAGAATTTAAGTGAAATTCATTTTAAAATTTATTTTTCTACTTAAAGATCACTGTGGCCCGATGACTTCGGTGATGAACATAATGAAATTGATGTTGCACTTACAATCTTTTATGAATCATTGAAAAAGACTCACACAGCAGCAAGTATGTTTTATTAGAAGAAGAAGAAGAAAAAAAAGGATTATTATTCATCTACAAACAAATTTATGTCTATATCATTTAGATTTACTCGTCATTCTTCACCAAAACCCACCGGTTGCAGATATTTGTCATCGATTATATGATCTTAATTTAAAAATTCTTTCATCAACACCTGATTCTCTTTGAAAATTATATAAATATTATAATAACAATAGTGTATAATCGGTGATAATAGTCTATTATTTCCTTGGTCTTTTCCTAATTCATTGAATGTGATTGGTCTTTGTATGCCTTCTTTTTTTTTTATTATAAAATAAAAGAAAAATTTATAATCGTTTAATAAACTGACTTGATGTATATATGATCAACAAAATTATTTTCATTATTTGATAGAACGAAAGAAATCATGAAGAACAGAGAGTATTTGTTTTTTGATTGAAGCATATGTGTGTGTAGCAAAATCAGAAAGAGCCCTTCTGATTTGATTTTTTTCTTGTCATGCGTACTGTTTTTTTCTATGAGCCAGAACTATAAATCGATAGGAAAGAAAAATAGAGAGGAATGAAAGGTCTAGCGCATCAGAAATCTAACAACATAATGTGAGCAAAAACAACGCGATGCTCCATATCAACAGTTGACTCGATTCGTAAACCAAATGATGAATTCTGAAGCCAAGGAAGAAAAAAGGAAGTATGTTGAAATAAAATTATCAGACTTACGTTTTTACGTACATATATTGATGTTTGTTGCTGTTCTCTTCTTTCGTTTCTATTAATTCTATTTGATTTGGAAGTAATGGCAAATGTAAAAATATTTTTTCATCTCTAAGCAGTTGCTCATAATATTATTCCTGTTTTTTTATTTTTTTGGTTATTTTTACAATTAGAAGGCTGAATAATAAATAACAAAACATGGCCGAACAATTTCAGAATATCGATTCTATACAACAAGATCCACCGGCTCCGCTATCGGTTCAAGATCTTAATGATAGACGATTGCGACCACAACTAAAGAGTAATACAAAGAGAGTTCCACTGCGCGTACAAGAATCAAAAACTCCAAAAAATGCTGTTCGATTGAGACCCATTGAAATTCCCATTCATTTTAAATGGGCATTAATTCTTACCATATTCTGTTTTTTTATTCTTGGGCCATGTTGGGCACTTTATAAGACATTCACATTGCGTCGAATGATTCAACAACGTGAATTAGATGCTGCTGAACGTCTATCGAATAGAATGTCGTCGGTTCTTATTGTTTCAACTATACTCGGAATTTTTGCATGGGTTGTACTTCTATTTTGTTCAGTTGGTCTATTAATCACTGGAGAATTGCTATCTGCTCAACTTATATAGATGCAAAACAAGCTGTCCTTTTTTTCTCCACAATGGATGATCTTCAAATATAAAAGCTATCAGATTTGTACACTTATTTGTGAATATCCAGTGATTTATATGTTTTATTTTTGTAAAAATAAATGCAAAACAACAACCCACCTTTTTCCTTCTATATGTAAAAGAAAATTAGAAATAGGACAAAACTTCATGTACTTGTATTTCCAGTAAGGAAATTTATCATTAGATTTAGCAATCGAAAGCAAAAGTATTGATGAAACGTTTCACTCGATATAACTTGATCTATGTGAAACTTGGATAAAGAATAACAAAAAGTATTACCAAGTATCAATTACTGTGAAGAATATTTGGAAAAAACAAAGCCATTCAGTTTTTATTACTTTCAAGCGCATACAATCAATGCTTCATTCAGGCCGCTCAGACATTCTATTTGTGTATATTTGATGAATGAACTTGAGTCATTCCAGAACTTGTTTCTCTTCTTTTTCTTTATTCAAATAGCTTTTAATGTGTTTTCATGAAATTCCTTTTCATTACTCGGCATATGGTAACATTCTTATTAATTGAGTTCATTAGAAAAGAAAATGTTCCAAATAATCTCGCGATGTTACGGGCAACAAAAACAGAAATTCTGTGAGTAGAACTAATAATTATCGTTACTGTTAATGCACTCGAAATTATCAGAAATTTGAATAATAGATTTCACAAATCGGCAAAAAACAGACCCTTTTTTGCTCTTGTAATGATAATGTTAACTTTAACATACCAGGAAAGAGTCAGTGAAAATGACAACGTTTGACAAACGAGAAAGAGTGCATGTTAGAAAAAGCAAAAAGAAAAGTAAGAGAAAAAGAAGGTAGGCTCATAAAGATTAGCGAACTCAACTTAACGACAAAAACTCATAACAATGAGAATCATATTGTTTCTCTCAATTCAATGCTGCATGGGCTATTAAATAATCGAAAGTAATGAACTATTGAATTTTACATGTTCTAAGAGGGCTCCTAAGTAAATCATAATGAAAACAAATAAGATAAGGCAGATTCCTAATACTAAGTGGTATTATTATAGATTTCAACGACATATATTTAAGTTGATTTGCTAAGTTTTTTTTTTGAAAAATGCTTGAACTGCATCAAATGCTACTTTTTATTTGAAATCAGAGCATCATCGGTAGAGAATTATATTTTTCTTTATACTTTGTGGGAAAATCCAGATCTAAGGTGCCTACTTATTAAAGTTGATATTCCTTTAAGCCAGGATTATTTTGTTAGTGAGGAAATTGATGGAACCATCGCCTACTCAATCTTTCGTTACACGGAACAACATCGCATATATAAAGATGAACTTAGTATGGGCGTATATAAATAAATTTGATTCCTTTGTGCAAGAATAGAATGATGATAGAAGATGTTAAGAGGGAAATTGAAAGTGAGTACTGTAAATGGATATGTTGACAAGAGACTGTAATGAAAAGGAAGAAAACCGGAGAGAGATTGAGATAAGAAAATTTATTGTTGCTACAGTTATTGTTGTGAAGAAGAAAATGGGAGCAAAACATTATAATCCGGACAGGCACAGAGCTAATCAGGATAGAACAAAATGAATTCAATTTGAATCAAATCAACATAGTAACACTATTAGTTATTTTTGATATATTCTTCTTGGGTTTATTATTTTTTTCTTGTAAATCTTTACTATATATAACTTTTATTAATTTTTTTCAAATTTACAGAACTATTGTCTTTCTGTAATATTATAGAAACATGATCAATATTTGAATTGTATATTTATCGATCGTGGTAATCGAATTTTAATAATTTCTTATCTCTCATCTTTGATCTGGTTTCATGGTTGCACTGTAAAAAAAGAAAAGAAAAGATCTAATTATTGAATATAAAGAAAAGCAGGTGGATGTCTACGATCATTTGACCTTTTTTCATAGTTGATGAATACATTTCTTTACAACAAAAAAATGTTATACTATTGAGAAAAAAAGATAGAATAATTTCGGATATACTTTATACTGAATGGAATTGATCCATCAATATATTTTCAATACTATTTATATTTTAGAGAAAAATATATCTATAAATTGATTTCAATGTTGAGATCTAAAAAGGAGCGTGAAAATAATATTAGCAAAATAACTCGCACTTCCGTAGAAAATAATAATTTAATTAATTTGACATCTACATCTAGACTCTTTGACTATTAGACATGCGCATTCACTTACCAGTGATTAAACAAAAGTCACTCTCATCAATAGATCTCTTTTCCGCGTCACTGTTGTTCTTTTATTGAGAAGAAGAGAAAGAATTTTGCCGCTTTATTAAACTATTGTTATGTGTCATTATATGAAAACAGTCCCTTTGAGTAATTCGAAACGCGAATTCTATCTACGCTCTTATATAATACCATCATCATCGTCTATCTATCTATCCATCTATATATATATATATATATATTAATTGCATACATTGATTTTATCTCATTAGAATCTGGATCGTTTCTACATGTGAACCAATTTGCTTTATTTTTCTTAATATATTATTATTTGGCTTTGCTTTCTTTTTGTTCCATTCTTCTTTCATAGCTTCTCCAAAAAAAGCAATCAATCAATGGTTCCATTTCTATGCGTCTCATCCTTTTTCTTTCTGTTAAATATTAGTCGAATGTAATATTGTTAATGACAATCAATATTTTTATATAGAAAATACTTTATAAATGCGACATGTTAGAATAAGTGACACGAATAATTTTGCCTAAAATCTTATCCGTTATTATCATATACACGGAAGGTAGCACTATACATTATGGAATCAACTCTTGAGATAGAAATGCTCATCTCTCTACTAGTCCTATGATGAAATTTTCCAGTATGTTCGTTGTAAATATCATGACTGGATAACGATTTCTCACTACTAATAAAATATTTAGAAACATCGTTTTTTTTCTTTTTGATCATTCGAGTAATTGCCGTGCATTAGATCAGATTTAGTATTCTTCTTTTTAGTTGAGTACCTTTTATCTATGTTTTTATAAGTATAAATATATTACATGGTGAATCTATCGCAATACCTGTCATGATTCGGATTGATATAATGCAAGGTTTTAGATTAGTTCACTTAATTTGCTAGCCTAAATATTGATTTTACTGTCGCGTGTGTAGAAATAAAAATGAAAAAATTACTATATTGTTATATTTTATTGTTATTTCCTATTTTAGATCTTCAGTCTATTTACTTGACGAATATTTTCTTGATTAGAATACGCTTGTGTGATTATTAGAGGATGGGGAGGCGGAGTAGTTTCTACTGAAATATGCAAAGTAAATATGGATTTCTTGGCTGATGTTTGACATGGTATGTCACCGTCATTAGCACTATATGACAACATCTATCATCATCGACGATGTCTTGTGTGATCATCGTCATGAATGAGTGTTTTCTTTCTTTTTTTGATGGTGTATGTTTGACACCTAGCTTCATTGTGTGATTTTTTTTCAATCACATACCCTCTCCATACTAGTCTTTTCAACAAAAAATATTCTTTGAGATAAGATTATTGATTTCTTCTTAGTTTTCATGTCTTTTATTTCGATTTCAATAGCAGATTGTATAGATTGATCGAATAAAAAGAAAATACAAAGAGAGAGAGAGAGAGAGAGAAATAGAGTTGCAATTAATGTCACATACAAATTTCCAAACCAATAGTCTCCTGCTGACCTCAGTGTATTCTCGTTTGATCTCTCCGAGGAGAATTGTAAAATTGCAATAAAAAAAACGAAATCAGATGCTTTTGTACATGTAGAAAGAAATAAGTAGTAATGTTTGTCGCTGATTCTTCTATGCAATTATTTCTAGAATTTCTCATTTGTTTTAAAGGGTTTCTTTTTTGAAGCATCGTTATCGACTTTTGCGTAGTGTTGTCATTACTTCTTTTTTTTTTGATTAAGAAAAAGAATGAATATTAAAATGAGGAAAGAACCAAAAATAACTTTGAGTATGCCATCAGGTAAAGTATAAATGCATCTTGTGTTTTATAGCACTTAGTCAATCGTTTAGACAAGATAATTATACCTAATAGATAAGTAATATTTCATTATTTAAGGGAAAATTTTTCTACTCATGAATTTATTTCATTATGCTCCATTGATTGAGGTAAATCGAGTGTGCTACAGAAGTATTACACATCGGCTATTTTTGTCTATAATATCTTGTAGTACAATAACCATGGCAATTATTTTTTTCGAACTACTTACAACATTTCAAATCTCATATTTTCTTTTACTTCAGAACATCCGACGAACTGCTAATTCCTCGTCCTTTTCATAATGTTATCCGAGATTCTGGCCGTGTTCGTCGTTACACTTTGCTCATCACTGTTTTTATCCACAACATACGTACACAGTCTCCCAAAATCATCATCGACAACACATCATTATAACCGTCTTCATCCATCTGCTGATTCACGTTCTTCACTCAGGCTCTTACGTCGTCATCCAATACCGAGTATTGATTATGATTTAGGTGGTGATATTTCTCAAATGTTGATTGGCGAAAGTAACGAATTATCATCGACAATAAATGACCATGACGATGGCTCATCATTCCTTGCCTCTTCTCTTGATGCAATTCATGAGCCATCGGATTTTTATCGGCAACCATCCTCTTCGAAATCATCATTGTCTAGAAAATTATTACTATTATTGAACCAACAACATCAACAGAAACAAGAAGAAGAAGATGAAGACGAAGATGCAAAACAAAATAAAAGATCTTCAACATCATCAAACAATACATCATCTTCATTATTGGCACAATTTAATCTGAATTCGGCACTTGCCACAGGAGGACATGTTGATCCATTGCATACGAATAACGATCCAAATCATAGTCAGTCGAATGATGCGACACGTCTGTCACCTGGACTTAAGCTGCTGATTGAAAAAAATCCACTTGCGCGCATTTGGATTTCACTACTTATACAAAAATTATTGGAAGAACAGCCGGTGCCATATATTTTCAAGTATGGTCGACGCCGCAAGAAATAAGCAAAAGAAATACATGTACTATCAGTAAAAGTCGAACGACGAATCGCGAGCCGAGAAAGTTATTTCTTCATCATTATCTCATCATCGTCATTTTGACACCGCACAAAAAAAAACTGTAATTTCACCATTACCACCATCAGAGCCAACAATATGTTTAAATGTGCCGGAGACCCAGAATAAAATTCCTTTGCCTAAGAAAAAATATTTATACTCTGAGCATGTTATATGTTTCAAATCATATAAAGCAGGAAAAAAAGAAGACCCTCTAAATATTTTAGTACAATGGAAAATCATATTTTGAGTTAATTGTTAATTGAGTAGGTAATTGCATTAAATATTTACTTGTCTTTTGACACTAATTCAAGCAATTTTCACACGTTAAATCGTCAAATATATTACCCGTAGGCTATTTTCTGTAAGTATCAAATCATCAAAATGTATTGTTCTATTCAATTGAAATCATTTATTAATGATGTATAATTAAGTTTGAAGATTAACCTAGTTGTTTTTATATATAAAAGTAAAAAACAAGACGTTTAATATAGGATATTATTTTGATTGCAGGACTGGTTTTTTCAAGATATTTTTTTTATTTTGAACAATTCAAAGCATAATGAGAATCTATACGTGTTCAGAGTATAAGTTAATATTTTTTGCATAAACTACAGCAACCTATGCATCAATTATGCCATTATAAAAGAAGACGTTAGAAAATGAATAGCTCATACTAGAAAATAAACCCAATGGGTAACATCGGTAATATTATGTCATGAAAGTTTTCATATAAATGAAAATTAGATTAGAATGTCTAACATAGGTTTAGTAAAGATAAGATATTATATAATACGAGATACTTTGTTTTTGATTGAGTTTCAAACAAATGATAATATTAAATGTAATACTGTTGAAAAACTAAATTCTTTACGTCACACTGTGCCCTCAGTAAGAATTCTATGGTATATATGATTAGACCTAATCAATTCACATTATTAATCTTTTCTGATTAAAACATTCTCCTTTATGAAGGCCAACAGTAATTTATTTATTTCAATATTTCAAAAAAAAACAACGTATATGAGAGAATAACCTCATAGAAATGAAACTTGAGACAAGCCCTGCAGATATTTTGAGAATTTAAATTGCGATCGACCCTATAGTTACCTAGAGGATAGATATTTAATATTTTGGGCACCATGACGGAAGTATATTGGAAACTCAACTGAAAACCTAGTTGCCTATGGTTTAACTACAACACAGGAAACCGAAATCATCAGCATTTCTTAATTTTTTTTTCGTTTTCTAAATTCAATTGTAATAATATTAAAAACATATCAAACTGATTTATCCATTAAAAGTTACATTTAACGAGAACTATATTTTTGACACTTTTAGGAAGCAGTGAATCTTGCAACAGACATACGTGTCAATGACTGTTCCATTATTTTAATTCATCATCATCCAATAGAGAAACTAAGATAGTTTTCCCATTTTTATGATGAATGCTAAAAGCAGATTATCCAAAATTAGAATCCAGGGACGGCGCGAAGCAACAAAAATATAGGGGGGGGGTTACTTGAAAACGGGAGGTTTTTTTTCAAAAATCAGAGTAAATCAATAAAAATTTCTTCTATTTTTTTCGAAAATCGGAGTAAATTAATAAAAATTTCTTCTATTTTCTTCAAATCGGAGTAAAATTGAAACAAAAATTTCCAAAGTTGGGGGGGGGGGCCCGTCCAGCCCCCCGCGGGCGCGCCG